TCCTCTTTCTGTCTCCTTTCCCTCCAACACTCTTTCTTCCTTTCTCCACTCCTTCCCTTCCTTCCATTTGGCTTTGCTGTGCAGCTCAAGAAAGCTGATGTCCAACCTACTATGTAGCCTCAGACTCCTGATCTTCCTCCCCCAGACTTCACAGGGGTACAAAAGTTACACTGTGGTACAGAGGTTTGCCACCACCCTGGGTCATACCTTCTCTTAAACACTAATTAAATAAGAAGTTTGTTTGGTTGGCCTCAGAGGTCACTTCCACTTTCTTCCTTCTATTCGTTGAGTAAATCATTAAAGCCAGCCCAGATTAAAGGTAAGGTAAGTCAACATTGTGTATACATCCAGTGGGGAGCAATTCAATATGGCTCCTCAAGGTTAACGGGTATTGTCTTTAATTGACTACAGTGATCATAGTAAAGGAAGACCACTTAGAGAAATTGTATTTCTGTTATATTCAGAAGAGATCAACAGACTGAAAGTCTCCATCATGGAAGTGTGGGCTTGACAGATGCTTATAGAAAAAAGGAAGATAGATAGACATAACTTAGAGACTGATTATAGAAACAAAGATGGCAGGGCTATATAGACTCTCAATTTTATAGTAAGTTTAGAGGCTGGGAGATGCTCAGTCAGTGCAGTGTCTGTCTTGCAAGCACAAGGACTAAGTTCAGTCCTCAGGATCCAAGTGAGAAATGCCATGCACGGGTGGGGGCACACTTGTAATATCTACACTGGGGAGGCAAAGACAGGCAGAGTCTGAGAAATGACACTTGAGGTTGTCCTCTGACCTTAACATGCATTCACACATGTACAGAAACCAACCCTACACACACACACACACACACACACACACACACACAAAACACACACACACACACACCCACGCAGACAGACACACAAAGCAGACACACACACACACACACACACACACACACAAACCCAAGTGCAATATAAAAACATAAAAAGTAAATAAAGGGGGATTCAAGGGGGGTCATGCTCTTGTCTGGAATATGACTGAGTCCAGGAGTTTCAATAGGCATTTCTTGGGCAATAGGGAGAATCATGAGACACAGCCTACAAAATTTCGGTTAGTGGTGCTCGGGTTTGAGCAATCATGAAACAGACAAATGTTGAGAGAAGGGGGGTAGGGAAGAAAGAGGAGAGGGAAAAGAAGGAAAGAGAAGGGAGAGGAGGATGAAAGGAAGCTGGGAGGAGAGTGCCCGCCGCCAGCCAATCTGGTTCTGCTAGGTGCATCAGTACATGGACGTGCGACTCTGTTAATATGTGACGCAAGCCAGGCACACAAGCTCTTTCAGTTATTTGCCTTCATTGAGCAAGATTAAACTGCAATGAAGCAAATAATTGGCTTGTCACATCTGTCCTTATCCCCTCTACTTATGAAGGAAGTTAAAAAGAAAAGGGCTCGTTGCCCTGATGACTGCTATGAATTCACATTGGCCCTCACCTTCAGTTTGCCTGTGGCTTTCGGCTTGGTTAAAAAAAAAAAAATCATAGTGTGTTGACTAGAAAGACAATCTCAGAAGCCCATGAAAAACTGCTGAGAGAAGGGGGGACAGTGAACTGCTTCAAACTGAGATGTTTCGGTGATACGGGTTCAAAGCGCCTGTTTGGAGGTCATTAGATGGAAAATGTGTGACGGGAGCAAAAAAACTGGGCTGTACAAGGAAGTCCATCTGGGACAGTGGTTTCAAGTCTGTGTTGTGGTTCTGTGAGAGGTTCCTGGAAGTTCCACAAATAGCAAAAATAGGTGTTGCAAGTTGAGATTCACAGAGGTCCTGCCTGTAAAAACATCATTGTCTATAAACGCATGTGCATTTCTCTATATGTTATGAATTCTCATTCTTTCTGGTGATAGGAAAAAAATTACTGCTTGAGAGCTGTTTTGTGTTTACTGATTTTAGGACCCAGGATCTTTGCCGGTAACAACAAACTCTTCATAATTCTTCCCCCTCATGTTGCTCTAACTGGAAGACATGGGGGGAGGGGTAGTGAAGGTGAAAGAAATTAAGGGTTGCTTCATCCCCAGGGAGGATTTCTGATCTACAACTCATCCTGTGGTTTTACAAACAGTAGCTGAGCCCATGATTATCCTTCCAGCCTCATTTTCTATAGCTTTTTACAGGTTTTGGCTCACAGGCCTGGCCTCTTAGGAGGGTCTGGAGACTCCTGGATGCTTTACTGGGATGTAGTAGGATGCACTCTTTGGCTCAGGCTATGTTGGATACTAGACTTCCTATGACTCCAATGAAACTTAGGGCTATCAACAGTGTGCAACAGCGGAGTTAGTGGTGTGTCTTAGGCTGACACATGTGAGCATGCTCAGAACATTCGTGTAGTGCTAAGAACTGGACAGAGAGACATGAAAGTGGCTGTCTGTGCTTACACAACAGATCCCAGTTGAGGAGTTGAGTAAAGTTATCCACACATCAGTTATCTGGAGAAAGGGAGCCAAAGGAAAATGAGTCAGAGGGAGGACTCCCAACATGTCTGAGGAAGGAGATGACACCAAGATCCTGGGGAAAGCCTTTGAGATTATAAGGTGAGAAGGGGAGTTCTGTAAATCCTATAATTTGGAATGTGTGTTTGAGAGCCCTGCCTGCACGGAGAGGCCCTTGTGTTTCCAGGACATGAAAAGTACAGGTGGGGGTAATGGGTCAGTATACAAAAGAAGAAATCCATCCCTATGGTACATGCTCTGCTACTTGGAAGGCTGAGGTAGATACATCATGTGACTTCAAGTCCACCCAGGACTTCAAGGTCACCCTAGACAACACAGTGGGACTGTCTCAAGTGCAGATAAGGCATAAATTTTATCTCCCCCTTATTGCAAAAATCAATTTTGCTAATTGTAAATTGCTTTAAGATCTTTCAGTATCTAAATGCCCAGGCAAGTTTATGTTTACCAACATAAAGCTTCCACGTCGCTGCTTCATATATTTATTTATTTCGTTTGTAACAGGAAAACACACCCAGGGCCTGGCGTGTGCTCTGCCACCAAGTGATATCTCCAGGCTACAGTTTCAAGTTAGACTCACCTGATTTAGCATACATTAAACTACCACTTATAATAGGACCACCAGGTGATCTGAAACTGCTCCTGGATACATCCCTTAAAGAGTCTAAGTCAGCATGCAGACACTAGCATACCCATCTTTGATGCTGCACTGTTTATCACAATCAAATCATGAAGCCTTTCAATGGATAAATGGATAAAGAAAGTGAAAATACATAAAATCAACTCTTATTCTGATAACAAAGAATCAAATGTAGCCAGGATGAAATCAGATTATTTTTAGGAAAATTAATGGAATTGTTGGCAATCATGTTAAGCACTATAAAGTCGACTAAAAGGAGACAAATCTCATGTTTCCTCTCATGAATGAGATATTAAAGGGAAGTAAAGAACATGGCCATAGAAGGGTGATTATAAGCTATTGGAGGGTAGATAGGATTAAACTGTTATGCATATGTGAATTGTCACATTTAACCTGTAATTACAGTGCATGGTTAATATGTAGTAAATAAAAAGAGAAATGGGGGTGGAAACTACCACAGTACACATCTGTTGAAACAGCCTTCAGGTGGAAGATTCGGTCTGTCTGCATAATGATGGGAGCTGCGTAACGGAGTCACCTGGAAGTTGAAAAAAAAAAAAAAAAAAAAAAAAAAAAGACTGACACCAATAGCCCTGGGTTAATTACAACATGACATTTCTGGCCACAAAAAAAGGCCAGATCTTGTTATGATTGCGAATGTAGGCAAGGCTGTGAGAACCACCCCTGTGGAATACTGACTCATGGGGCAGTTAATAAATTTGCATAGTACTATGTCACTGGTGGACTTAAGCCTGCTTCTCTGAGAAAAAGGAACAGTTCAAATATCTGGAAACAGATAAGAGAGAAACATCTGTCCTATTGGGCCACAGGCAGCATCTCCGATAAACTGCTGACGCTCATCCGTTTATGTTCTCTTCCACTTCTGAATTGCCCCCAGGTGACTTCAGCCCCGAGTTTCTGAAGGTGCTTATGGGAATGTGGCGGGGAATCCAGGGCCTGTCCACCCTGGAAGACATGCAGGAAATGGCCATGTGCTCTGGAAGGAGCAATCAATCAATCATTGTTTATTTGCAGTTGCATTGCAGGGTGACCCATCATAGCCGGGAAAGAAGCACCCAGCCATATACTTGGCTGTTCTCGATTTTTTGTTTTCTGGGCATGAATTTTCCTTTGCATAGTTAAGTCCTAGAATTAACTGGGTTATGTTAAGACTAGGGAAAAGGTTGTTCAGCCTGGCGTATAGCAGTAATGCAACCAAAGTATACAAGCTTATGCAGTATTACCTCGATGCCAGTGCTCATTTAATCTCTACCCCTCCACAAGACGCTGCTGCGGGCATTTATAACCAAAGAGGAAATCGAGGTACCACAAACTTAGTGACTCGGTCAAGTTCACAAAGCCGGTTGGAGGCACCTAGCGCCAGGCCCCAGAAGTTGTGATAGGCACAGGACTGTTAAGCATTTGCTTCAGGAGCTGAGTATCTGACTCGCTGCGGGTCACCAGCTCAGGTAGCCCAAGCCGGTTGGTATATAAAGGTGAGTTGTTCCAGCTAATTTTGTTGAGTTCACCTAGGCTGCACAGAGGAGCCAAGCGGTTTGGGAACTCCAGCCATTCTTCCCTGGACTCGGGACACCTGGTAGGGATGCAAGGACCCTAGGATGCCCAGCAGGGATACAAAGACCCTGGAATGGAATGCTCCGCAGAGATGTGGAGACCCCGGGGTGGAATGCCTAGGGGAGGGGGTTGGGGGTGTAGAGACTCTGGGACGCCTGGCTGGGGTGTCGAGACTTTGGGATGCCTGGCAGGGACACAATCGCCCAACCTCTCCTGCTCCCAGGGCGGGGCATGGGCACCCGGCCAGCTCGCTCGCGCCTGCGACTTAATAGGGCCGGCAGTCTCCGCCCGCTGCACGCCCCCGCGGGCCGGGCTGGGAGTGGGAACGGCGTGCTACTCCGGCGGACACAAGTCGTCCCCCTCACCAGGAGCCTCCTGGGAGCCTGTGGCTCTGATCAAGAGGGGCGGGAGCCCAGCTGGTGCCCGCCTGCCCCGAGAGCGGCAGGAATGTGACCCACGAGTGCCGTGCCGGCGACGGAGCACCCCTCGCGTGGCTCCCAGGGCTCCAGTTGCTCCCGGTCTCGGAGCAACTGCTAGATTCCTGCGCACCCCACTGGGGCACCCGGGCAAGCCCAGGTAGGAGAAAACTGGAGAGTTGGGAAGATGGGGTGGCCAGACCACGTTGCTGTCTTGACCCTGGCAAATGTCCTTCTTAAGTTACCCGGTAGCCAGCGTGTCAGCATTCTCTGTGGATGAAAGATAAAGTCAGCCTCTTTTCTTTCTGGTGTGTGTGTGCGCACACACACACACACACACACACACACACACACACACACACACACACACACACACACAAGCGCGCGCGCGCACACACACACACACACACACACACACACACACACACACACACACACACACACACACACACACACACACAAGCGCGCGCGCGCACACACACACACACACACACTCAGGAGTAAAGGCCATTTAAATAATTCGGGAACTTGCCCAACTTTCTTCAGGTTTGTTCTAGGTACACGAGTCTCCCTGTGTAAATTGCTCCCAGGCCTTGAGTTCTGGCAAGAGTAACTAACTTGTAACTAAGTAACAAACCCTCTAAGAGGTCTGGGCTCTGAAGAGGGGGTCTTTAACAAGGCAAGGGGTAAGTGAATTCCTTCATTCCTGTGGTGGGGTGAATCCTCTCTCCAGACAGATTGACACTAGGGAATGTAGACACATTGTTTACAAACATGCCCAGCGCGGGACAGTTTACAGGGCCCCGTACTTTTACTGCCCTTTAGCCTCCCAGCAGTCCTGTGGGTGAGCCGCCAGGATCACCTTGTTTTATAGCAGAAGCTTAGGTGCAGGCTATTTTGTTTGAGAACTGGCACCCTCTGGGCTTCAAACCCTTGTGGCTAAAGTCTTGGGGTGGGAGGGAAGTGAGAGAGGCTGCCAGGGAAAACAGGGAGACTCCCCCTTTTTTGCACTGTTTGGGATGTTCACCAGATGGGCACATCCCATAATTTTGGCCCCGAGGAACATCCTGGGAACCGAGAAAACAGAATCTAATCAGTTGTGCTACTCAAGCCACGATAAAGAGGAGCTGAAGTCCATCTGTCATTGGAACTGGTGGTGCCTGAGTCACCCTGGCTTATTGCCAGTCTTCCAAGAGGTGGACACACCGTATGGAACCGAATGACTGTGAGATCCAGGAGTCAGCCTGGTGCTGGGGACAAGTGCTGCCTCTCTTCCTACTTACCAAGCAGCGGCTCCTATTTCTCTCTCCTTTGAGCCCATCTAAATTTGTAATATCCTACATGTTATATTTTATTTAATATTATACATCCACATCCTAAACTAACTCCTGAGCTAGGCAGACACGTGATGCCCATTGAGATGGGATCCAACTGGGGAAGGTACCTGGAGTCTGACTTTTCTTTAGTCAGGGCTGACTGCTGTTCTGAAGCAAACAGTAAGTACTTTCGAGTAGGCTCACCATTGGGTTGCCAGTGTGCAGTTCAATAAAGACATTTGCTCTAAATTCTCACCCAGACTTGGCAAGGAAGGCCTAGACTTCTGATTCCTCATAGGCTCTGCTGAACCCCTGTGTTGTAAAGAGAAAGTATTATGTATGCTTCTGAGGCACAAAACATCTTCTGGTACATCCTCTCTAGGTGAGACACTGCTTAATATTAACGTTACTCATTTATCAAACAAATAATTATTGAATGGTACTAATGTACCAGGCACTGGGGGAAGTACTAGGGAAGGTGAAGTAAATAAAACAAATGAAAATCCTGTCTTCTCACATACATGGGTCCTCTTGGCAAGTTAGAGAAAAATTTTTTTTCTTTTCTTCCTAAGTCAGTACTTTGAAATTTGCCCCTTTGCAGAGAGTGTGGGTCTGGGTAGCCTGTAGGACACAGTGAGCATGGCCAATAGAGAGGGCGTGGAGACTGTGATCATACATACAGCTCAGTGGTTCTCCAAGGAACAGCGGGGGTGCTAAGATATGGACCAGCAAGAGAACCTGGGTCGATTAGAAGCCTGCAGAAGGGAGTGTGAACAGGGAGTGTCTATTCATCCTCACAGAGATTCTACAGTGGAACATCTTACTAAGGAGCAGGGCAAAGCTGGAGCATCTCAGTGAGACAGCCACGGCATAGGGTATGGTACAGGGAAGAGCGTACACAGGTCCTCAGAGTCTTGGGCTGTATGATGGATCTATAATGAACCTGCCACTTCAAAGGAGAGACATTGTCAGGAGCCTTGACTCCTGACAAGGCCATGACCTGCCCCACAATGCTACCCATTTGTCATCAAAAGCTGGCTCTTGGTTTGCGTTTTCCTCTCTGTGTGGTTGTGAAGTGGTTAGTGATATAGGGGAAGGTTTTGCAGTGTTAGCAACTACACTTTCCTCTGCTTGCCTGTGGCCTCCGGAAGTGCCAAATTCCTAGCCACACCCTAGTACATGAGAGTGGGCAGAGGGGCCCTGCCAAAAAGAGCTGTCACCAAGTATTGAAAGTCCCTGAAGATTTTCCAAGTCTCTGGTTACCTTTGAATTCTCTGCTGTCTCCTTGTGTGTGTCCGTTAGTATACAAGTGACAGAGTAAATGAGACATTTTTCTATCTCATTTGTTTGGGAAAGGATTTGTACAATGTCATCAATTAAAATAGAACAAGAGGGAAGCAAACATGGAGCCCACAATGACTAGAAATGTTTAAAATGACCTGGGAAGCTGCAGCTATCAGTGTCTTCAAGATAAATGTGAAATATTTGGGGGAAATAAAAGGTTCTTGGTGTGAAGTTGGGTTGAGATTTTCATCTGGTTTTCGTTAAAGAGATAGGAAGAGCAAGATGGAAGCCTCTTGAAGTTACCTGTCCCACAAGTGCAGGTTGGTAACCACTGTGCAGCTTGGTGCTGAGCTGACAGAATGGGTCTAGAGAGCCCAGCTCTGCACATCAGTCACACCTCAACTCAGATTACCTGAAAGGACAGCAATGACTCCCAGCGGGAGTGGGGTGAGAAGTGAGAGGCTGTCACTTTCAATCAGGGCTTCTTACCTCATCAATTACCTGACACGTCTGTTTGTAAGTATTTTTAAACAATCTGTTTGCAACTCCAAGATGATATAGTAAAATTTAGCAGACTACAGTTTTAAGAAGAGCAATATAATGTCTAAATGGAAAGAAGAAATAAAAACAGTTTGTATTAAACATGTATTTCAGTATGCCAGTGCTTGGGGCATAGTTGGTACTTTTTACTCTTTTGGCTTTTTGGGGGCCTGCCACCTGGCTCCCAAATAAATACACAAGAGACTTGTTATCACTTATTAATGCCCGGCCTTAGCATGGCTTGTTTCTAGCTAGCTTTTCTTAACTTAAATGATCCTGTCTACCTTTTGCTTCTGGACATTTTATCTTTATCCTGTCTACCTTTCTTACTCAGTGGCTTGCTGTGTAGCTGGGTGGCTGGCCCCCAGAGTCCTCCTCCTCTCCTCTCACTTCTTGATCTCCTCTCCCAGAACTCTCCTTCTATTTATTCTCTCTGACTGTCAGCCCCACATATCCTTTTTTCCTGCATCGCTATTGGCTGTTCAGCTCTTCATTAGACCATCAGGTGTTTTAGACAGGCCAAGAGCTTCACAGAGTTAAACAAATGCAACACATCTTTGCATCATTAAAACAAATGTTCCACACATCTTAAAATAATATTTCACAACACTAGGGTAAGGCTCTGCAGCACTTTATATAAGTTGACCACAGACTATTGTGGGGGCAAACTCAAGTCTTCAGGGGAACAGGTGAGCTGCTGGCTGCATGAATACCTTTAACAGGTTCTCCACTGTTAGTCAGGGTGATTAGAAAGATACTCCCGTCCCCTCTTTGTGTAGGTAAATAAGTCAGATCCATTTACTCTCATTGAAAATTGCAGGTCTTGATGTCCATTGGGGTTTCAAGAAGTGAGTCTCTTTGGTCCTTTCTTGTGTGTGAGGAGGCTTTGTTTGTTTGTAACTTTGTGGTTCTCAAGGTTGAAGCGTCTGTCTGTGACTCTATGCTACTAATCTCTGTAGAACAGAAACCATTTAGAGCATACCACAGAGGTCCCCAGGTGCCTCTGTGATCATTCCCACCCTCTCCTTTCTCAGCATGAGTCTGGGTACTCCTTGATAGATGGACATTTTAGAAGAAGTTGGTGTAAGGTAATCTATGTTGTCCTGAGGGTTTGAGCTTTGTGGGCCTTGATGTTTCCATTTCTCCTGATTGGGAATTATGAGATAATAAGAACATTTACTTAAGACAGCACCACTTAGACTTTCAACACAAAGACTGAACTGAAGAAATCAAAAGTGAATGCCCAACCCGGCACTACGAAGTCGCTTCCCTTATGGGTTATTTCTCTGATACCTCCTGATTTTTCCTTGAGAGGTCTTAGAGGCTTCTTTCCTTCCCACTCAACGCACACCCACCTTTGTTTCAGTATAAAAATAACAGCTCCCCCACCTAGATCTCCTTGGGTAGAACTGATGATCCCAATGGGATAGACTCCCTTTCATGTCTGTAGATTTTCTTGGAAATGTATCCATTCTGGTTTCAGAATCAAGGACTCCTGGAAGGAAAGAATTGCAAAGTAGTTCCAGTAGTTGCATGGTTTTATGGCTTTGTGTATTCATTGTTGCCTTCTTTATCACACTGTCCATTTTGGTCTTAAGTTCAGCAACTATTGAGAATCTGGTTGAATGCTTATAACCAAGTGGCATTGGAGGAAAAATCATTATTGTGGTTTTAGTTCAATACCGAAACCCACTTTTCACTCATTTTTAGCAGACACATAGGCAATGACACTTCCTAAGCTGGGGAAACATGCTTAAACTCTTGCTTTTTCTTAATTATGAGCAAGTTAGTGGGAACTGAATTCTCTATTTTGCCATGTACACATACATTCGTATGTCTGGTGTGAGAGGTTACAAATGTGTTACAAATGCTGTAGCTCTGTGAGGTATTGCTTGGAATGTAGACATGTAGAGATGAAGCCAGAGATGTGGAATGTGTGTGCTGTGGTTTGAGTGTGGCCATCAAAGTTCACAGATGGGAAATACAAACTCCAGGGCAACAGTGTGAGGCAAGACTCATAGGAAACAATCAGGTCTTGAAGGCCCTGTTCTCATGAATGGATTAACGCCAGTGCTGGGGAAGTGAGTTCATTATTGCAGGAGCGGGGTTGTTATAAAAGTGAGTTCAACCCTCCCTTGCTTGCTCAATCTTGCCCTTTCTTGGCCTTCCACATTCTACTTTCCATATTCTGCCATGGGCGACATAGCACAAATGCTGGCACCATGCCCCCAGACTCCAGAACTATGAGCCAAATAATTTTCTGTTCATTTTAAGTTGCTTGGGGTCAGGCATTTTGTCACATCAGTGAAACAAATGAAACAAAAAGCAAACAAACAACATAGAGAGACTAATATGGTTAAGATCTCCTTTCTAAATTTCGGATTTGGAGGTTGACTCTAACAGGTCCTAGAAGGAGCAAGAGCTTATTCTTGCTTTATACTCACACTCGTGGGTTTCTATTGAGGTGTGGCTTCCTTATAATTTCCTCTAGGATCCCCCAAAGTCCAGTGATTTGCCCAGATCTGCTCTGCAACTCATAAGCCATGTCCCTTGTCGTAATAAAGAGTCTATAAGGGCAATATGATAGACCCATTAGAGACTTGAACTTCAGCACTTGCCTCTTGATCATACTTTAGGTTCTCAGATACCTCAGAATTCTTTCCCTAACTGTCCGAACTCCAATTTCATGGTTGCCCAAGGCTCTCCTGAGAGGCCTTGGAGTACTCCATTCTGGATATGCCTGCCTTGTGAGCCCAGGCAGGGCTGTATAGAAGGAAATATACCCACGTATGTAGACCAGGGTGTCAAGTGCATAGACTCAGAGCCCCTCAGAATGTGGAAAGATGTTGATGGAGAGGGGTTGAGAGTAGCTAGATACAGTATGTGCCACTCTGAGAAGATCCCACGATGGGGCCAGCACAGTCTGTTCTTGCACACTTAGTACTCAGACCCAGGACAAGCCTCCTCCAGCAGCAGTTAGCAGTTTCCTCTGTGTGCACCCACACAATGTGTGTCCTCAGTACATCTTTCAGAGCCTGTGCCTACCTTCTGTCCTGGAAGGCAGGATTCACAGTGTGGGGAATTCCTCAGGAAGAGGAGGAGAATTCAAGTTCGTGGGAAATTTCTCATTCATAAGAAAGTATCTAATAGATTCGGTGTGGCCACATACAAGAAAAATCCCCTCTTCAGACCTGTACTGTCTTGAGGAAAATGCTGTGTCCCACAGCTGTCATTTTGCTTGCGCCTGCATTGGACAAAGTAGATCTTGCAAAGTGAGAGAAAGGCACAGTCCCTTTCCCTTCTAAACCCTGGGATGAGTCAGCACAGTCCCACTGACTGCTAGCTCATCCGTCCTTCACAGCTCTGGTCTTGGCCATGCCCCTTCTTGGGGAGGGGCTTTGGTTGGGAATCAGTAATGATCATATTGATTCTTGTGCTTGTTTTCTGTTTTTCATAATTTAGTTCACATTTCTGCTTCTCAGTCTTGAGTCTAGTGCTATGTTAGGCTGCATCTGTTGCTGTAACAGAATATTGGAACTAGGATAATCTGTAAACAATAGTTTATTTAGGTTAGACGGCCAGGTGGCTGCATCTGTTGGGGGGCCTCGTGATGCTTCCTAACATAGCAGATCCAGGGAAAAACAAGTGGGTGCTTGTGGAAGAGTAAGAAGTGGACTGGCTCTGTATCAGCCTGCTCATGCAGACTTCAGGTCCTTCCCTCCCTCTGTCCTCTCTTCTACTATTTTTTATCATACACCTGGTATATGTGAGCTATGAAGGTTGGGACCCTGCTCACAGGAATATGGGGGATGGTCTGCCCTGTCCTGTCTTCTCCCATCTCAAGTAGAGAATTCAAATCTCCAGGGTGCTAGATGAACTGCTTGAGCTGTCCGACACACCTGTGTGTTGTACCGTGAAGATGCCAAGTCACTTGTCCCTGGCTGTGGAGCAGGGATTTCTTTGAGGGCCCAAGGCCAGTTTCTGCTCAGAATCAGCCCAGAGCTGTTATAAGTCTCTTGGCTGCTACCGAAGAGAATTGAAGAGATGCATCCTGGGGCAGAGTGTCACAGGTACTTGGGACCAGTAGCCAAGATATCAGCTATGAAGGATGAGTGGATTGGCATTCTCCCTGGAGTCAAGACAGGTAGGGGTGAGCCAGGTGATGTGAGCCAGAGACAGAAGGCTTCTTTGCCTGAAGAAGTAAGGAGGGCTGTTGGCTTGCACAATGCTTCCCAGGAGCAGTGATGTCTTGATTGAAGTGCTGGCTAAGAAGTGGGAAGTGTGTGTGTGTGTGTGTGTGTGTGTGTGTGTGTGTGTGTGTGTGTGAAGGCACTTGGAGTTTCAGGTGTGAAAAGGAAGGTGAGAAGAGGAGTAGATTGGAGCAAATGGAGAGTCTTATTTGCCGTAGGTCCCTAGATTTACCCAATTGTCAGTTTTCCTCCTCCTTCTCCTTTTATGACCCCCCCCACTGTGCCCCAGTGATACTTTCCCTGTGGTTCCCATCAGCTATAGTCACTTTTGAGGTTCCTGGGGATTGGGGTGGGCCATGGTCCTGTGGCTAGGAACAGGAAGATCTTGAGTGTTCTCTTTGATTTTGTGCTGTAATAGGACCCTTGATAGATAATTTGCCACTGTGCCTCTGACAGCTGAATGTGGTGCTGTGTTCTATCTCCGGAGGCATGACTAATAGTTTGGGATTTAGTGTTATTTAGTCTATGCAAATGTTTAGCATTGATTTGGTCAGTCTGTGTCAGTGGTGGACATTGAAAGGTCCCAGTAGAAGGATAAGGAAATGACTCAGCATGAAAAAAATAGACTCCAAAATACTAGAGGAAACTGCAGAAATAAATAGTGAGCAATCACAAACAGCTTTTGGGGAATTATTTTAAATTCTGCAAAATGGGGTCAGGCATATGGATGTGTTTGGTTTAAGGAAAAAAAAAACACACTTATTTTATTTTTTTTAAAGCTAATGTGCCTGCTCTTAAAAGGGACCTTTCCATGTTTTTTCTTCAGGCATGCGGCAAGTCCTTAGCCCTGTTTTCCATCAGCACTGAGACAGTCACCCAAGAGGGATTTTTATCAATTTCTGAGTCCCTCTGACAGGCAGAAAGCACAGTGAATGCATTTAACCCTTTGCGTGTCAAGTTCCATGTTCCTGACTCCTTTGACTTGTTTCCCTAAACATACTCTGTCCTAAAGTACCACAGGGCATAGATGTTTTGACTTTTCCATGAGTATATGATACTTTTAGACTCGTCTTGGGGTGCTGGTGGCTCTGAGGCCCTTTCCGCCCATCTGTTCAATGTACCTATGCTTTTCTTCTCCAGGTAGACACGCCCCTTTAAGATGATCCCTCCTTCCTGAGAAGCAGGACCACTCATAAAGGAAGCAGCCTTCCTCAAGGTAACAGGCTGGGCCATGGCAGGGTTCCTTAGTCTTTCTTCATAAGCCATGGAAGTCTTCTAACCTCAGCTGCAGGCAGCCTTGGGACAGCTCCCCCTATATGCAAAAATGTTTGCTGGCACATTTTTTCCTTGGGGGCCAGATTACTACTACTACTACTTCTTCTTCTTCTTCTTCTTCTTCTTCTTCTTCTTCTTCTTCTTCTTCTTCTTCTTCTTCTTCTTCTTCTTCTTCTTCTTCTTCTTTTGCTGTTATTTTGCTTTTTTATGGATGCACAGAATTTGTACACAGTAAAGTAATATGGATGGGATTGGAGGAAACAGTGTTTGGCAGAATAAGACAAGGACCGCGTGATCTCATACGTATGTGGAAAGAAGCTCAGTTGATGATAGAGAAGAAAAGAGCAGGGCAGTGGATGCTAGATGCTGGGGAAGGATGGGGAGGGTGGAGGCTTGGCGGGGGGGACTCCAGGGAGGTGCTGTCAGATTTTTGAGGGAGTCTGTGGCCCTACTGCTGACCTTCTTCCACAGGCCATCTGATTGGAATGAGTTCCCAGTGCAGGGGGCAGAGCCCTCTCAGAACATTCTGGGCCTTTGCATCCCACCCTCAACTTCCTAATCTCTGTTGAAAAGCACACTCCTGGCCTCCTCCTCAGGGGCCCCAGGCTGGTGTTGCTGCAGGAAGTTTACTCTGATCATGCCAGAGCAGTCTGTGTCTCAACCCAGCCCACCTACCTGTGGTGTGATCCTCCTTGCCCCACCCCTCACCGCTAGGGAACCTGGCCATCAGCTATCCTCAGTCTCTTTTTCCCTGCCCATCCCCCTGCTGCTCATCTGGGCATCCCTATCATTCCTCTTGTCTCCAGTGGTTAAAATTTGTACAGAGAATCAAAATCTAGCCACCACCCCCCTCCACTGTGTAAAATCTTTAAGTACCTTTCTGCCTTCTGCAAATTAAAGGCCAGCCCCTCAATGCACCTCTGTTGCAGCCACTGTCAGCCCCGCCTTTCCAGATGCACTTCTTGGCACCTGTCCTCAGCATAAGTTGCTGAATGGAGACATTACGTAATGCTTCCCTCACCCTTGTGTGTGGGGCGGGTCTCATCCTGCAGGCACATGATCTGGTAGAGTGAATATGGATACAATCACTTTTCCTGCAGCCACGAACCTCCATGAGCCAGTCCCTGGGTCATTATTCCTGTTTTTTTTTTTTTTTGCCTAGGACTAAGTGTGGATCTGGGCTTCAATATACGATTGTTCAGCAGGGTAGTGGGTAGAAAAAGACATGAATGGAAACTGAAAATCTTCTATCAAAACTTGTCAGAGATGGCTCAGTGGTTAAGAGTACTGACTACTCTTCCAAAGGACCTGGGTTCAATTCCCAGCACCCACACGGCAGCTCACAACTGTCCGTAACGCCCGTTTCAGGGGATCCAATACCCTCATAAAGACATTCATGCAGGCAAAACACCAATGTACATAAGATAAATAATTTTAAAAAATTAAAACAAAATTCTCATCACGGTGTAGGTGTTTGTGATAATGGTTTCCATGTGGCAACTCATTTCGCCCTCATCGTGGCACTCAGTGGCAGATACCATTGTCAGGTCCAGTTGTCACATGAGGGAACTGAGGCACAGAAGCTGAGCTTATCCAGTGTGCCACCTCTGTGGGAGAAATTGACTTGGACAGTCTTTTAACTGGTGACCCTGAAATGTCTAGTCTAGGTCTCTACCTTGGGGTTATATTGTTGTTGGTGGACGTAACGGGCTAATGCTGATTTTGAGCTGTGTCTGTTTGCTTGTTTGGTATTTTGTTTTTTGCCCATTTGTTTTAGAGGTTCAGTTGCTCTGTGTCATTCAGGCTGACCTCAAACTCATGACTCTCCCGCCTAGCTTGCCCAGTGGTGGGATTACAGGTATGTGTTGCCACACCCAGCATTTGTTGGTTTTTCTTGGGAGCCCATTTGGTGTCATCTCAAGTGCCTGTTTTACAACCCCACCTCCTTCTGATAGCTTCACTCATTTAATACCCATTCCAGCTTGGTGTGGAACCTCAACCCCCAGGTCCTGTTGACAGATAAGGACTCAGCTGCTGCTCGGGCAAAGGGTTTTCCCACACCCCACTTTGGTTTTTATTTTTCCCTAGAGAAGGGTAAGGGTAGATGGAAAAACCTGTACTCCTGTCCCTCTACCACTTAGTAAACCACTAGGGAAAAAACTGCTCTTAGGTCATTGGCCATGGACTTGAAAGAGTTAAGGATGATTCATCTGCAATTAACCTAGAATTCCAGCTTGAGAGCCACACACTATAAAAAGACAGCTTGGCATATTTTTTTTCTTCCGCCTAATACCAAACAAGCCTGATCTTATAACTGAGTGAACTGGCAACCAGCAGTGTCCACGTGGTTTATTTATAAACACTCTTGTTGATACTAAGAATACGGAGTGAATAGCCAGGACTTGGTACTGGGGAACATTTAGCCCTTTCTTTTCTAAGACTGGATACACACACTTCCATGTGCTCACAGAAGGAGGTAAGAAGCCAGACTACAAGCTTCAAGGCCTCCCATCTTATTTCATAAGCTGGATGTAGTTTAGAGTAAGTACAGCATGAGGCACTATTAACCTACATTGTGGTAGATGACCGGAGAAGGATCGAGTTACAGGATACATAAGGAATGTAGTCTTACTACTTCAGGGTAGATCTCAAGGCTTAAGCCAGGCTTAAGAATCAACATCATCCTGATGCTGGGGTTACATTGAATGGATGTGTCTTACAGCTTCAGATAAAACCCGCCCCACCCCCAATCAATCTTCCTTTAAAAAGTGTGTTGTAACATTTATATACTTTCTAATGTAATTTCTCAAGTAGAACATTTTCTAGCTAATTTTCAAATCCTTTAGATAATTAGTTTCCAGGAGTGGCATCTTAGTTAAAGGACTTTATGTTTCATACTGACAGAAACAAGTAAGAATGAATATAGACACATTTAGTGTCTGATAAAATTAAAGGCAATTTTTTTTTTTTCCCAGCAAGGAGTTTCATAGTATGCTTTGGACATTGCCCAATGTTGCGTTGAGGAATCAGCTGTTATTTTGCTCGTTCTGTTCTCATTCATCCCTTGAGGCTTTATTAAGGACTTCTGGGACTTCATTAAGGCTTTATTAAGGACTTCAAGTACAGTGTCACATGCTTTGGGGATGGAGTTGAGCCGTGTTCCTGCCTTCAGGAACTTCCCATCCCAGGTTAAATGGAAGATTATGCTTAGGGCATGGTAGGCAGACAGGTTGCTGGGAAGGCCCAGAGAATGCAGCCAGGCAGGAGCTCTGGAGAAGCCTCTGGCCCTAGGGTGCTGAGATCTGATGGAGTAGGAGTGAATGACTTAGAAAGCAGAGGAAGTAGTTAAGCACAAGGCTAAGAGTCTGGGGCATGGTGAAAGCTGCTGCAGAGTGAACTTTCGGGATGGAGGGACATTCAGTAGAGTTAAGAGGGGCAGGAACGGAGTAGCCCTATGCTTGGCAAGGGAGCTGGACTCTTGTACCTGCATGGGGAGGCTAGTTGATTTGATTAGAAAATATCCACAAGCAGAGAGACAAATAAGGAGCCTGGCGGTGTAGTGAATCAAGCAGGGCCTTGAGTGAGAGCAGCATAGCAGGAGTTATGACTAAACTGGTGGTGTTGGTGGTGAATAACATCAACTGTTGTGTCCTGGGGGTAGCTGTCTCTTTTAAGTGCATGCTCAGTAGGTCTGGAGCCCTGGGTCAACTAGGTGGCGAGTTCCAGGGGAGGGCAATTTGGTGGTGTAAGAATACTTGCTGTATTTTTGGGATTGGAGTTCTCAGGGGCCTCTGAGTGGATTTGTGTAAAAGCCCGCTGGAGACAAGAGGCTGGAGTTTAGCTGAATGTCATCATGAGCCATCTGTTAAGGAGAATGAAGTAAGCAGAGAAAGAAGACTGTAATGCAAGTTTACTTCATTTGGGACTTGAAAGAGGTAGTAGGCAAAACTGTCACGATAAGTGTTCTTCTTTGCGTTAATTTGATATTGTTTTAGGGACTTTGTTTTGTAGATGGGGTGCTGGGCACGTCCTAAAGAAGGTTAGGCAAGAGGTTAATCTGGTTACTCTCCCTGCCAATAGGACCTACAAAGGCCCATGTAATTAAAATAGCCACGGTATGAAATCAGCCTAGGTGTCTGTCCACATGGGTAACACACAGGTGGTACATATACATAATAGAACATTATTCAGGCATGAAAAAGAACTAAGTTATATCATTGGCAGAAAATGGTTGGAACAGGAGGAGAACATATTATCAAAAAGAAAGGCGAATGCTTTATTTCATAGGTGGAACTTAGCAAAAGCCCATACATGACATGGCAGGAGGAGGAGGGCTTGGAGGGAAGATGGAGTGTAAGGGAGACAGGTGAGGGTAATGAAGGCTGCACAGGTCAACATACATTATACCCTGATGAAAATGTCATGAAACTCAACACTTCATAAAGCGAATACATAACAATAAGAATTTGAAAAGGAGAGTAAGTTATCAGGACCTCGGTTTACAGGGAGCCCCAGTGCTAACACTGTCTAAGGTCATGCTGGTGAGGCCTTCAGAGCCACTTAGAGAATCAGTGGTGCTTCTTTCTTTGTGAAAAGATTCATTCATGTTCATCACAGACCTTCTGGAAAGTAATAAAATCCCCAGAGAAGGGGAAATCCTCCCAAACCACAAGAATAAATGCAGCATCAATATGTTGATACGATTTATTTTAGTCATTTTGGGGGTACATCTCCATGTATTATATTGTACAGGCAATTGAATATGGGATTTTTCAGTGAAGGCCTGACTCAAATGTGGGGAATATCTTCTATCTGGAGACAAATGTACAAAGGGAGAGGCAGCTACTTGGGGTTCAGTGAGTCCACTCACCCCTATCCCCATGGGAGATTGGTTCCACAACCACTGTGGGCATTGCAGTGCAAAGGTGCTCAAACTCCTCGACATCTGCCCATGTACTTCTGTCTTCTCTGGGTTAGTTAATGATATCTAATAAAATGTCAGACATACCCACAGTTGTTCTCCTGTGTTTAGGGACTGACAACATCCTAAAAGCCATGCGTCTTCAGCACAGAAGCACAGACTTGCAAATCATTTAGCATGGCAGTTGGTTGGATCTGTAGATGTAGCTCCCATGGGTGTAGAGGTCTGGCCATAGTCTACATTGATTGTAAACTATATTCTGAGGGGATTCAAGTGTAATTTAAGACTAGGAATGTATTTGAGGAAGGACGTTGAAAATGCTTTAAATCTTAATTTGCCCCCAATTCTAACACACACACACACACACACACACACACACACACACACACACACACACACACACACACACACACACACACACACACACACACACACACACACACACACACACACACACACACACACTTTCTAACTAGAAGAGTAACATAACTTGGAATGGTGAGGAAGGCTTTCCCATGTGACCTGGAGGTTATGGGTGAGGACAGGTGGGGGTCAGGAAACCTAGAGAGTTGCTAGTTAATAATGTTCTACCTTCCTTCCCTTCTACTTTTCCAGGAGAATATGAAAGTGCTACTTGGGCTCCTTTGTTTCATCACCCCTCTGCTTTCACTGGAGACCGGTGAGTATGATGTTTCCTCTAGTGTAGTCATTTACAGGCGGAGGTGAGGGAGAACACAGGACAGTGTTTGTCTACCAAAGTCATTTTCTTTGCCATTCTCGGTTACACTTAGGACATGGACGCTCCTGGCCCCAGAACTGCCATCTGAAGGTCCTTTTCCATAGCTTCCTCTCTCATTCTATGCCTGGGATTTTGGGGGAATTGAGGCTGGTGAGATTAAGAACCCAGGGTCATGTCTCTAGATTTGGAATAAGAGCTCCCTCCTGTCGAGGGCTCTGAGTCTAGTCCAGGCCTCCTGTCATCTCAGTGCTCATGGGACTAGTAAGGCCTGCTTATCCTGGAATAGGTGTCTAGAGCCACCCATGGACCCATAGCTACTTATTCGTATCCTCTTCCAGTTTCTTCATATTCTCTTTCTCTTCTTCATTTCTTTCCACAAATTTATTGTGCCTTTACAATGTGTCATCTGGTAGGTGCTGAAATTGTATGGAAGCAGCCACTTGCAGGTGGCATGCCTATTAAGAGAGACAGAATACATTGCATAAGTCATGTAGTGGTACAGATAAAGTAGGCAGAATACTAGGAAAACAAGAAATATTTGGCAGACAAAAATAAAAAAAAAAAGGTTCAGTTTTCCATACGGTATCTTCCCACAAAAATATCTCAACTGAAAGGTTGATTTTGAGTAGACCCTGCAGGAGGGAAAAAGGAAGTGATGTAGATTCCAGGCTAAGGGAGGTATGTGTCCTTGGCAGCATGTGCCAAAGGCCCAGAGGTTAAAAGCAGCTAGTGTGTGAGCTGGGAGACCAAATGAGGTCACCGAGTGTGGTAAGGAAAGATCGTATCAAGAGCTGAGGCCTGGTTTCCGCTAGGGTGACTGATGGTCAAGGTTTCAGTGGTCAGATAACTAGTAAAAGCCTGACCTGAAATTTGGAGCCAAGTAGAGAAAGTGTCTCAGGGTGAGTGGATATAATAGGAACATGTCCAGTACAGATGCGCCAAGTGAGATGACATCTTTGAGTTATGAAATCTAGCAGCTTAAAGGTTTGTGCATGTTGTTTCAGGGATGACCACTCTGCATCGGAGAACCAATAATGGGGCTCGGCCTTGAGTGAGGCTGAATCCACCCACTCCCAGCAGTCATTGGTTGCCTATAGTTCTTTGTCTGGGGTTAGGACCCCATGAAAATTTCCCCTCCCAAGTGAATATGCCTTTGCTCCAGTCTTGCTTATGAAGCCATTTCTAGGAGAGACTGTTTCTCAGCAGACTTTCTGGTGTTCTGGTTCTTACAAATCTTTCTATGCCCTCTTCCTTGATGTTCCCTGAGTCACAGACACAGGAACTGTGATATGAATGTGCTTTTGGTGGCTGGGCCCCTCACTACATTGTGTCCAGTTGTGGTTTTCTGTGACAGTCTCCATTTGCGGTAAAGAGGCTTCTCCCATGAGGGGTGTGGTAGCTACACTTACCTGTCAGTGTAAGCTTATGCATTAGAATGTGAGCAAAGTGGACTTATACCCATTATTTTGTGCAATTTTGAAACAAATGATAAAAAGAGAGAGAAGTTACAAGCCCCAAACTACTTACATGCTTTAAAAAAATCTATTTAAATTACCTGTTTGTACAATTATGAAACCAGAGTTTTGTTTCCTGATTTGTTTACTGGCATTTCTTATTTCTTTGTGTGCTTATGAGTTGCTGTCTTGGTTGGACTTTCTCAGCCTGAATGGCTCTCTCTGGGGTGTTGTTATTTTGTTTTATAGGAGAGTAGTGTTTCTGATAAATTGTCCTAATCTTGGTTTATATGTAAATGTCTTCATTTGTCCTTTATTTTAAAATGTTATGTCACTTCCTCCTGGCCTTGGTAGATTCTGAGAAACAATTACACTCAATGAAGAACTCCTGTGCACAAGATAGGTCTGTTTCTTACTGCACTGAAGGCTCCCTTTCTTTCTATGATTGGACTCTGAAGTACTAGATAGATGTGCCGTTTTAGTTTATTCTTGTAGTTATTAAGCTCTTTAGATGTGTAGATTAATGTGTTTTTTTTGGGGGGGGGCATTATTTCTTTATGTATTTTTACCAACCCTTCTTTTTCTCCTGGGATTCCCATTATATACATGTTGGTTTACTCTCAGAGCCACAAAGGACACTCAGTTGATTTATTGTCATTTTACAAGTTCTTTTGCTGTCAACACACACGTGCTGTTCAGCCCTTTACAGTGAAACCATCTTTGTCTTAGTTATGGGATTTTTCCACCCTAGAATTCCAGTTAGTTCTTTTGATGGTTTCCTCCTTCTCTTTCTCTTCTTTTTAGTTGATATTTCCTTGGTAAGACATTGTTGCCATATAGTTCTTTTTATATTTTAGAACTAGTTTTTCAGCAGTGTTGTATATATTTTAAAAGCTATTGTGAGTCTTTGTAAAGTAAATGTAACACTTCTGCTCCCCTGAAACCTTTTCCACTGGAAGCTTTGTTCACCCCGTAAATGGCCCCTCCTTTCCCATTTCTTCTGTAGTATTTTGCTGATCATTTAGAATTTTTGATAGCATAATGTATAATTCTGGAAATCAGATGTCTCCCTTATAAGTACCCATAGTTTGTTGTTATTACTGAGTTTTTTTTAAGATTAATTCTTGAGAGAATGGGGGGAGGGAGGAAGGAGGGAGGGAGGAGAGAGAGAGAGAGAGAGAGAGAGAGAGAGAGAGAGAGAGAGAGAGAGAGAGCACGGATGCCCTTGGAGTCCAGAAGGGAATACTGAATCCCCTGAAAGTGGAGTCACAGGCATTTGTGATGTCTGAGGTTGGTGCGGGATCTGATAGGGCAGTAAGCTCTCTTCACCGCTGAGCTATCATTCCAGTCCATTGTTAACAATTTTCACATTTTTAAACATTGTTGCTGTTTCTGTTCATATGCTTGATGGATTTCCTGAACCAGCCTTGTAAAGCCTGTTTACAAAACCTGAAATCACTGGGAAGTTCAGTGATTGGTTAATGACTGGATGATCTGTAGCCTATATATTCTCTACCCTTTGCTGAGGGACAGCATATAGGCTGTTTACGGGTCTCCTTAGCCTTCACTTCCGCCCGTATATGACCTCACAGTTATTCAGATGTGAGTCTGAAACCTTTTCTGGACCTGCTGAGCAGCTGTGCGTATGTATGTATGTATGCTTCTCATTCTTCAGGAATACGCTGGAACATTGAGGTCTCACTTTAGGCCATGGCTCTTGTGTTCTAGTCCGTGTTGTAGCTTTTATTAAATAGTTGCTGCCTTATTAAATAGCTGACACTGAGTTTGTTCATCAAACACCCTGGGGATAGGACTCTTGCTGAGGATCTCTGGGTCAGGTCAGTAGCCTGGGACATTTGAGAAACTCCAGACCTGCTTTGCTCTTGCAAGCCTGCCGGTTTTCAGGGTTACTATGTATGCACAGGTCCCGGTTTTCATGATATTACGGATCTGAGGGAAGGGGGATGGTAGCTAATTCCCAAAGCAATAACACATGCTGTTCCAGTTTTATCAGCGACTTTCTGATTCTTCCTTTTCCTCCTTCTGTCCCTTCCCCTCTCCTTCCTCCTCTTCTTCCTAATGAAAGCTTGTCTGAATGTTGGAAGTCTTTGATATAGAAACAGAAAATCCAGTCCTTTTCTTGCTTTTAAGGACCAATGATTTACAGAAACTTTCAGGCTACTATTTTGGAAACCTTCCTTAAGTTCCCTTTTCTTTGGAGTATGTATGCAATTTGATGAGATGGCTGTTTCTTGTCATTAAGTCCAAAATCACTTGAATATATTTGTGTGTATTATGTCTACATCTCTATTCTGTTCCAGTGACGAGTTTATCTTTATTCCAGTGTTACCCTGACTTAGTTGAGGTAACTCTATAAAGCTCTATAGGTTTGTAAGATTTTGGTCATCTGCTTGTGGTACCCAGGGATACAGAACCAAGTGCTATCTCTGAGCTGCATCTGAAGCCCCTATAGTAAGTCTTTAACTTGAGCAGTGTAACTCTGCTTTTTATCTTGCTCTTAAGGTCAAATTTATTTTGACCACTTCTATGTGAATTTTAAAATTGGTTTTTAAAATTTTTAAATTTGTATGAAATGTTCCGATCATATTTTGATTGAGACTAAACTGAATATAAATATGTTTGGAGGAGGAGGAGCCCCACAAAATGGATTCTACTGTTCTGTGGTCACAGCCTTTATCCACTTGCTTAGAACTTATTTAATTTACTGAAGTGAAATTTTGAAATTTTCATTCCATAATTTTATTTTATAGATTTATCCTTAGTTTTAACTACCTCTTGGTGCTACTGGAATGTGGGTTCTTTTCTTTTCCTCTCTCTCTCTAGTTTTTTGAGACAGGGTTTCACTTTCCTGGAACATGCTTTGTAGACCACTGGCTTTGAACTCACACAGACCCAGGTGGGTCTTTAACTCTGCATCCCAAGTGCTAGAGTTAAAGGCATGCGCCACCACCGCCTGGCTTTTTTATTTTCCTTTTCTTTTTTTTGGGGGGGGGCGGCTGTATGTGGGTTCTGAAGCTCAGTTTTGAAATATTTTTGTCGGTGTATGAAAATTAAGCATACTTAACTTTGCCTACTCCTATTATAACCCACAACTGATAATGCTCAATTCTTTTGTGTATTTCATAACAATTTTGGCATAGAAGACTATGTTGCCTGCAAATAAAAGCATTTTCCCTTTCATTTTCAATCTGAATGTCATTTATTTCTTTATTTCTTTATTTATTCATTTATTTTCCTTATCTCTATGCCTTAGCTGGGGCCACTAACACTGTGAATACAAGCAGTTAAATCAAAGCTTTCACCATCTGCATGGGATTCCAGAGCCACTTTGAATCACATGCAGGGTATTCACTCCCACTCCTAGATTACTGAGAGTTCCTGTGAGGAGTGGATACTCACTTTAGTTAAATGCCTTTTCTGAATCTGTTGAGATTTTTGTGTAATTTAAAAACAATCTCTTAGTATATAATCCAATTTTTTTAGTATGAATATGCCTCTGTGTTTCTGGAATATCATTTCATAATGCATATTCTGTGTGATTCAATTAGGTGAAATATTTTAAAGATACACATGTGTATTCATAGTATAATTTGGTTTGTGGGTTTGTTATAATGTAATTTGTTTGGGTAGCAGATTAATGTTGATATTACATTCGAGTCTGGAGGTACTGATGTCTCTAATATTTGGGAGTATTTGCTCAAAAAATTGACGTCTTTTCTTTCACACTGGGAAAGACATAAATGTGAAGCCATTCAGTCTAGAAATGTTCTCTGTTGGGATGGTTTCACTGCAAATCCAGTTCCCTTACAAGGTACAGGACAATTTAGGCTACCTAATTCTCCTTGAAGGCATTTCGATAGCTTGTGTCTTTCAAAAATTTTAGCCATTTTATTTATGATGTTGAATATATTATAATAAAGTTGTTCATAATACTCCTATTGCCCTTTAAAAACCTTTTTTAACGAGACTTCTTTTCCCTCTTGAATAGAGATTTACTTTTTAGTGGGTTTGTTTTTCCCCAACTAGAGCTTTGTTAATTTTATTGCTTTTATGAAAGAAGTCACTTCCGGAGTCTTTAATTTTCCTCTATTCTTCTTTTTAGTTCATCCCTTTCTTCCCAGATATTATTTGCTATTTGCTGCTGGGATAATCAAATTTTGTCTTCTCTAAACAGTATGGCAGCTTAACATTTTGAGGAGCCATTTCCACCAGGGAAGGCTGCGCCTGCAAGGCCTACTCATTCCTAGGCAATCTGCCTCCCAGAGTATGCTTTTCACATGACGTCTGACCCAGAGCAGTGCTTCCCCACCCTCCTCTTAGACCTTTCACATACAAAGCCAACTTGATTCCTGTGGTGAGTTAATGCACAGCCAGGTGGCAACAAGCCATGTATGTACATGCTTTTGCCACCTGGACACTCTGCCTCACCTCAAATCCTGAAACAGTTGAACTGGCCACATCAGGTTTCAAGCCATAAGTTTAAACAAGTGTTTCCTTGGCTTAAATGGTTTTTTAAGTGTCTTAGTCACAACAATGTATAAAAAATCCGATACAGAAAATTAGTACTAGAGAAGTGACATTGTTGCTGTGACAAAATGTTACTCTCTTTGGAACATTTTCTTTTCTTTCTTTCTTTCTTTCTTTCTTTCTTTTTTTCTTTCTTTCTTTCTTTCTTTCTTTCTTTTTTTTTTTTGTAGAGGGATTTGGGGGGAAAATTAGAGAGGTCAGTTGGGAAGCTCTGGGATTTTGTAATCAGAACTTCATGCCTGGTTTTGGTGGAAGCTCTGATCAGAATGTCAGTAAGACTGTGGACAGTTAAGAATATACTCAGTTGAGGCCATTTACACCACCATCTAACAAAGAACTTGTCTAATGTTGTCAGTGTCTAGAAACTACATATGAGCTAAATTTAAAAGTGATTCGTGGATGCAATAAAGAAGTCCACAAATGCCTGGATAAAAGAATATCAAATATTTATTTGGGGGCTCTCGTACCATGAAGGTAAAGAGCCGCTGAGGTCTTCTGCCCTGGAGGTGCCGGATAATGCAACTACTACCCAAGAGAGAGTAAGAACTTGCTCCCAGTTTACACGTAACACCTGTAACCCTGCCCAGAAGGGGCCAGTTCCTCAGAGATTGTTGGATGAATGAGTTCCCACAACAGTGATTGATTCATTTTATGGAGGAAATTCCAAGACAGTCTAGCATTCATCCTATAGCATGGTTATTGCTGACCAGATTCAGAATCTTAGAGCAGAGCAGGCATTGAAACCTTGCCATTTGGTTTGAAAAGCCAGAATAAAGTTGAAGCTAAGAAGATGCGGTTTCTGAAGATATTGGTGCCTTTGAAAATAAGTATTTTACATAGTAGTCTCAAGGTAAGGAACGCATAAACTCATTTAAGCAACCTTCCATGGAGAAGAGAGTGCCTCTGGGGAACCCATCTCTTCAGGAAGGGCTGCCTAGGGAAAAGGAACTATTTCCATTACTTGAATCACTCAAGAGGCCACTACAGCAGTAGTAGTTCAAAGTGGGGGAGCTAACATTAAGCCTAGATGCTGGGCTTGGTGTCATTCATATAGTGCGATCTTTTATGATGTATAAATGTAAGAGTTATGGGAACACTCAGATTTCAAAAGAAATCCTGACAGTCCAGGGCACTGTACCAAGTGTGGAAGCCTTGTAGCCACTTATGAGAGGTCAGTGAGGGAAACTGCAAAGGTGAAGCTTACTTAGCCTGTGGTACATTTTCCTAATTAGTACCTGATGTGTGAGGGCCCAGCCTGTGGTGAGGGATGCAACTCTCTGTGATTGTACAGGTGCTCATAGTAAGAGATTGTCTTGAGTCCTGAACATTGTTAGAACTTTAAAGACCTTCTTGTGGGTTCTTACAGATCGGCTAAAAGCAGTCTGCATTGTAACTAGTCATGATCATTTGAAGGCTGGGGCTTGAATGTTAGGGTTTGAAGATTAAATTTCCTCCACAGGGTCATGGGTTAAGCACCCGAAATTATACAGCTTCACATATGGATAAAATGTTTACTGCAGCATTTTTATATGATACTATTTTCTTCTTTGTGAAGGACTTCTTTGACAGTTTCTTGAGAGTACAGACCTTCTGATGATGGTTTCTTGGAGCTTTTCAAATCTTTTTTTGTAATTTTGAAAGACGTTTTTACTGGAATTGCAGGCAGATAATGCTTTTCTTCTCCAGAAGGAAGGTTGTTACCTTTTTGTTTTTTGATTGTAATAGCTGCTTCTTTTTTTAAAGACTCTCTGACTATGTAAGATTTTCTTTTTGTTACTGGTGTTAATCTGATCACTAGGCAGTTACTGTGATTTTCTTCATCTTTTCTGTTTGTTGTTTGTTTGTTTGATGCTGGGTTTCTCTGTGTAGTCCTGGCTATCCTGGAACTCACTCTGTAGACCAGGCTAGCCTTGAACTCACAGAGATCCACCTGCCTCTGCCTCCTGAGTGCTGGGATTGAAGGAGTGCACCACTACCACCTGGCTCATAGCTTTATTTAATTATATATTTTATGTATGAGTGCTCTAGCTGCAAGTACATCTGCATGCCAGAAGAGGGCATCAGATCCTATTATAGATGGTTGTGAGCCACCATATGGTTACTAGGAATTGAACTCAGGTCCTCTGGAAGAGCAGCAAACAGCCAGTTGCTTTTAACTTCTGAGTCATCCTTCCAGCCATCTTGCCTTTTTTTAGAGTTCATTGTGTCTTTGGGGCCCAAGCTCATGTTATCGCATCTTGATAAATTTCAGCCGGTATTTCAGATATGTTTTCTGTGTTCCCCACTCTTGCCTGAAGCTATCCGAATGCCCTGCTTGCTTGCTTTCCCCTCCCCCATCCCTTGGCTTAATCTTGGATGTTTTCTAATGTTGTGTCTTCAGGTTTTCTTTTTTTTTTTTTTCAGTATAATTTTAACTCGACAATGCATTTCTTATTACTAGAAGCTTTTTTCTTAATTGTCTCTATTCACTATGTCTCATGTCTCCTTCAGCATCTTGAGTAATAGGAGATATAGTATTATGTCATGCCTTGAACAGTGTTATTTCCTATGCTTGTCCATATGTTAGCTGTTCACATGGGAGGGTATATTCAGTCTTTACTATGCTCCACGGTGCAGAAGTGAATGTCTCTCCTCCAATATTCCTACCTTTAGATGAATAAGTAGAAAGTAAGAGGGGATAACCTGCCCAAGGTACATCCCATAGGGACCATGTGGCAGAGCTGGAATCAAATATAAATTGTCCAAACCCTCAAGACTGTGCTTGTAACCACCAAGCTGTGAACTATAGATATAGCAGGAGCTGGTATCTTCACTAACCAAATGAGTTCAAATGTTGATATTGCATTAAGAAACACTGGGATTTTTTCTTATGGAAATTGCCTCCCTTTTCTCTCTCTTAAAGATGAATGTAAAGAATATCCAAATGATATGATTTTATTTTCATCTGTAAATGAAATTGATATTCGTGATTGTCCTCTTACTCTGAATGAAAAGCACAGCACCATAATCTGGTATAAAAATGACAGCAAGACACCCATATCAGTGGAACAGGGCTCCAGGATTCATCAGCAAAAAGAACGGCTTTGGTTTGTTCCTGCAAAGATGGAGGACTCTGGACTTTACTATTGTATAGTAAGGTAAGGAAGGAATTGATATATTACAGACATATGTCCTAAACTTCTATAGTAGTTAAGGGTAGAAAAATCACTTTAATAATGATTAATTTCCATATTTTACTTTATTTTAGAAACTCAACTCACTGTCAAAAAACTAAAATAACTGTGAAGGTTTTAGAAAACGACCCTGGCCTGTGTTACAACACACAAGCTACCTTCAGACAGCGTCTCCACATAGCAGTGGATGGAAGTCTTGTGTGCCCTTATTTGGATTTTTTTAAAGATGAAAAGAACCAGTTACCCAAAGTTCAGTGGTATAAGGTAATTTCATTTTAAGTATGATATTTTCCTTTTACACAGTTTTGTGTTCTGAACAGTAAAATGTATCCACAAAAATCTTTTTCAGTTCATGCACTGTTTGCTCTGGAGTGATGCAATTTCACAGAGAACCAAACAAAAACTTAAGCTTGTGTTGAGTCTTACAACTTAACTAAAATCTTATTGTTGTCTCTATCTAACTTAGGAAGATATAGTTTCAAGAAAAGTAATAGACTCAGACACCTTTGAGAAGATGGATTAGATATTTAAGCCATTTGAGAGATAGCTTTTTATAGCAGATATTATTTTGTGTTTAATTAAAAACATTTATAGCTGGGCCTACAGAGATGGCTCAATGATTAAGAGTGAGAACGGCTTTTTTGCAGGACTGGAATTTGTTTCCCTGCATCCACAGCAGAAGGCTCACAATAACCTATAACTACAGCTCTGGGAACCTGACACCCCCTTCTGGCCAACATGGGCACCTGCATTCATGTGTACAAACCCATGATTTTTCACACACACACATACACACACACACACACACACACACACACACACACACACACAATTAAAGATAAAACAAAAATAAATCCTAAAAGACTAATTAAAAGTTAAATCCACCTATAACACGGCAGTGTCTGTAGCCACTTAAACATTAGGTTGGGACACAGTATATTTTGGTAGTTTTAATAAGTAGTCCAGTGGAACTTTTTCAGGAAAATCATCTTTTAGAAATTAAAGAATACAAAATAAATAATATCAGTTCAGGAATGGACCATGGTGTTGACAAATGTCAACATTATTGCTTCAGTTGTGAAATAAATTTGTCTTCACGTGTCTTTATGGCATAAGCCTCTGGGCTTGAGATTTCGAAGTGTAATTATCCTTCTTTTAATTCCTCCCAAACGAACAAGTCCCTTTTTCAGTTAGGTATTTGCTGAGGTGAAAAACTGGGGCTGCTGTTCTGGTTACCTAGGGGAGTTACTGACTTTTCCAACACTTCTATTTCTGCCCTCTTGTCTAGGATTGTAAACCATTGCCTCTTGACAACGGAAACTTCTATGGAGCGAAAAATAAGCTGATGGTGAGAAATGTGGCTGAAGAGCATGGAGGGAACTATACTTGCCACATGTTCTACACATACCTGGGGAAGCAATATCCAGTCACCCGAGTAATAGAATTTGTCACAATAGGTGAGTCTTGGCTCTGACCCCAGGAGTTTGCCTGTGGAACAGCCTGAAGGCCATGATTTTGATGTTACTTCATTGTTCACAAAGGAACTAAATATAAGAATTGGTCAGTGACTCACAAAGTTGATTAGTCATACAAACCAAAATAGGGAAGGGTTTGTTTTGGCATGTGGTACCAGAGAGAAGGTAGCTGGTCATGGTGAGGAAGGCATGGCAGATGGAGGGTGAGGCTGGCCCAGCAGTCAAGAAGCAGCATGAGCATATTTCATGGGCACTGGAAGGAGAGAGAGAGAGAGAGAGAGAGAGAGAGAGAGAGAGAGGTTCAGGCTATAAAACCTTAAGACCCACCCCCAGTGACATCCTTTCTCCAGCTTTGCCTCACCTTCTAGAACCTTCCTGAATATTGGTACCAGTTGGGGATCAGGTGTTCAAATGCATGAGCCTGTGGGGGACAATTCAAACCACAATACAACATCCTATGGTTCTAATCTCATTTTTGTTAGTAAATACTACATGGACATCTTTCATTCCTGCTTCAGATGCAGTGCTAACTAGACCAGCATGTTATGAGTTACACTTTCTCAGGGGTCTTGTAAAATTCTTAGATATCACAGAAGGTAGGTCTCCGGAGAGCTCTAGGACTCCCTTTTAGTAGTGACCATTTGAGAGCCTGCCCAGGGTAATCCCACTCAATAGGAGTCGCTGACACTGGGGGAATAGCTTAGTGGTAGGGCTTTGTGTTCAACTCCCCGTACCGCAAGAGACAAACCCAAAAGTACAATAGGGCAGTCACTGGTGTGACCGGGGTAGATCTCCATAAGTTTGGAGATGTTATGTATCCAGAATGTTTTTTTTTACCTCAATCACTTAATCTCTAAGTATGTTTCCTCTTCTATAAGAAGACATGTGGCCTGTAAGGCTTTGAGAAGATTAGAGATGAGATAGGCTCAGCTTGTGGTCATGTGCCTGATGCAAAGAGGGCCTCGCTACAAAAGAAGGGGGGCAGTTAGCAGGTGTACAATGGCTGCTCTTAATGTTTCCATGGCTCCCAATCTTGTCATACCCATATAGCGTATGAAAAACTATTTCACAGTCGGATGAACCAAACTGCACTTTCACAAGTTACCTGGGAATGGGTAGAATAGTCAACCTTTGTGTAATATTCCAGTAGTAAGAAGCTAACCTAACTAGGACCCTTTCTGCAGGGAATGGAGGAGGATCATCTCTGAGTAATTATGCTGGGACACAGTTGTGACTATCCAGGCAAGCCCAGAATTGGATCAACATGCATATAGCAGCATTTTGCCGGTGTTGCAGCCATTTCTTTTTCAAAGACTAATTTCACTGAATAAAAATGTATCTCTTACTTGGCCCTATAGGTGTCAGCTGGATCTAACTTTCAGTGGTCATTTACTGAGCACATGCTGTCCTATCTAAAGGAAAGATGAGATCCAACCTCCTGTGCCCCCTGTGCTTTATTTGTTTACATGCCTATGGGGGACTACTGGCATTTGAGTCTGTTTCTAATTCTTCCTTCTCAGCCACAGATCAGCCCATGGAACCAATCTTGTAAAAAAGCAGGAGGTTAATTTTTAGAGGTTTTTTTTAAGTTTCTGTCTATTTAAATGAATTATGGCCAGTAGCTGCTGGGTTGCTACCACACTAACCCAACACATCAGGTCCAGCACTAGCCACCTCTGCTCAAGGAGGCTCTTTTGCCCCAACTACTACCTTTCCTGGTCTGCAGGGAGAGGGGAGCCCTCCAGCTCCCAGGGTCCTGCCCACATAGGTGCTGTGTATAGAATAAATTCTTCTTCCTATTTGTACTCTCAGTAGAGATGCTTGTAATTGCATTCATTTCTCCGTTTTTTTCTTTTCTCGTGCACATACATGCACATACACGTTGTGTGTGTGTGTGTGTGTGTGTGTGTGTGTGTGTGTGTGTCTTTATATGTATGTAAGAGTACAGGTGTATCCCCTGTATGCAGCTGTGTAGAGGCTAAAGGACACCTGTGTAGTCCACCTGTAAGCTGTGTAGAGGCTAAAGGACACCTGTGTAGTCCACCTGTAAGCTGTGTAGAGGCTAAAGGACACCTGTGTAGTCCACCTGTAAGCTGTGTAGAGGCTAAAGCACACCTGTGTAGTCCACCTGTAAGCTGTGTAGAGGCTAAAGCACACCTGTGTAGTCCACCTGTAAGCTGTGTAGAGGCTAAAGCACACCTGTGTAGTCCACCTGTAAGCTGTGTAGAGGCTAAAGGACACCTGTGTAGTCCACCTGTAAGCTGTGTAGAGGCTAAAGCACACCTGTGTAGTCCACCTGTATGTTGTGCATGGTCCTGACTCTCTTCGGGTGTTGAGTTTGCTGGTGTCTGGGGGCTCTCTTCTTCTCTCACCTCCTATCTCCTGCTGCACTTGATCTGTCTGGCTGAGTGCTGCCTCCGCCCCCCGCTCCCGCCCCCCCCCCTTGGGATTCTGTCTGGCGAAAGACTGAAGAGCTCTGTGTGCTTTCTTCTGAAGAACTCTGTGTGCTTTCTCCTTGTAGGTGAAATCAAGATGGATAGGCCTGTGATCGTGAGCCCACGAAATGAGACCCTGGAGGCAGAACCAGGTAAGCAGACTTCAGCAGGGTGTGGAGGAACCATTATTCTGAATTCAAGATGAAGTTAGCGTGACCTTCACAACACATACAGCATAAGTTGGTTACCGAATACACCCGTGAAGGGACAGTGGCACGAATTATGTATTTAAATGATTTTTAAATGTTTGGAATTCATTTCTTAAATTTTTTTTTAAGTTTTTGCCTCTTATGGCAAAAATCTAGCCATATCCAATTTTCCTATCTTTCCTGTCCAATAGAGTCTTATTATCTATGCAAACAGTAGCCACATGTTAAGGTTATAATGTCTAGGAATACAGTATGGAATTTATCTGATTGGCACAGACTTTTTTATCGTTGGAGTCAATCTTTTAGGCAGAGAGGTGAGACTATATATGTCAAAAAGATGATAGTTATTCTAAAAGAATACTTTTCCAAGTTAGTCAGTTTTTTAAAATATCAAGAAGAAAGATCCATCTTGATCACTATAGCAATGAATACCCCTTCCTGTCATGCATGGAGCCAACCTTTTACTCCTCCTGGGGAGAGAACCATGTTACACTAGCTGAGGTATAAGCACTGACGGGTTGTGAGCTTGAGGTTAGCCTCGACTACAAATGGGTTCTGTCTTAAAAACAACACCAACAAAAAGAGATGGGGACAACTCAGTCAGTAAAGTGCTTGTGAGGACCTGAGTTTGGTGTGCAGCATCTATGTCAAGAGCTGGGTGTGGTGATGAATGTTTGTAATATGAGTGAGTGCTGGGGAGGCAGAGATGTGTGCAGACGTGTTCTGGATGGACAACCAGTCTGAATAATTGGTGAGCTCTATCTACCCAGTGAGAAACCCATCTCAAATGACGTGGACACTGTTCTTGAGGATGTCCAAGGTTGTTGCCCAGCCTCCATGCGCGTGTGTACACAGATAGATCTGAACTCTTACACACACACACACACACACACACACACACACACACACACACACAGATACCTGCTATACCTGCACCCTTACACACACACACACACATACACTGCCCCCTTACATGTACAGACACACACACACACACACACACACACACACACACAGAGTGTGTGAGAGATACACCTGCACTCTTACATACACCTGCACTCTTACATGTACACAGACATACATATACAGATTACTTCTATACACACACACACACACACACACACACACACACAGTCTGAAACCAAGAAGGAGGATGGGTATAAATATACATATTTATTTTTATTAAAGTAAAAAAATGAGAATTTTATCATATAATAAAGATAACATAAATTAAAGAAGAAACTTCATATCAATCAGTGGTCTGGAATTAAATTCAATTGCTTGGTCTAAAACTTTATGTTCAAGATAGCCCAGAGGATCAAGCACTTCATCTTAGATAGCTTCCAGAACAAAAGGCAATGGAAATACAAACACCCTAAATATGTACCTCGGTTCTTTCCTGACTTGGTAGTCAAGATAGTTTCTAGAAAAAAAGTGAGTGAAGATAGATACAAGAAGAATTAGTTTTTATAAATTTTCATCATGAAAAGATAAAAAATCTGTGTCAAAAATTTTCATAAACAAAAATAAAGGCAGCTAGCCTGGAAGGCTTTCTGGGAAATTTTTATATTTATGAAGAGTGAGTGTCTTTGATTAATGATGAGCAGCTAGACACCTCTGAACTTATTCTGAGAAAGAGCCTAATAATGGATCCTACATGTGAGGAGCAGAGAGGGTCCAGTGAACACTAAGCTGGGAAAAATGTGTTAATTCACCAGTAGTTCAGGAAGTGTAGGTTGGGGGGCTGGAGAGATGGCTCAGTAGTTAAGAGCGCTGGCTGCTCTTGCAGAGGACCTGGGTTCAATTCCCAGCACCCACATGGTGGCTCACAATGATCTCTGGTTCCAGAGGATCCAACATCCTCTTGTGGCCTCTATGAGCACCAGGCACACATGTGGTGCACAGACATGTATAACAGGCAAAACATGCATGCACTCAAAATAAATAAATCTAAAGAAAACAATGCAGGTGGCCTGGGCTGTGATGAAGAACACATCTAGTGTGCTCTAGACCATCAGTTCTTGCTCTGGAGCCAACCACCGAAGAAAGAAAAATTTCGTGAAAATTGAATTTGATTTTTCTTCTCTCACGGAGCAATGCTTAATGAATACCCCTGGTGTTCTGGGGGTTTGTGTGAAATAATGGCTGCATAAGTGAATGGACTGGTACAACCTTACTTGATTGGAGTTTGCTTTTGAAACTATATCTTCTTGGGAGGACTGGAGATGCAACAAGGCCATGGGTTTCAGTCTCAACACTCTAAGGACATTATGCCTCCAGGTTTTCACTCTTAAGTAATACTTGCAGATACATGAAAACAGAGATATAAGTAGGACGTTCCTTAAATATTAATCATAATAATGAAACTCCAGAAATTCTGCCTAGTGATAACAATATTGTTAGTGTGTATGTATATTATGCAATGCTAAGTAGTCTCATACCAACATGGAGGCTGAAGTTCCCAGGTCACAGCAATTACAAAATAATAGACAATAGTATCCTATTCACCTTATTGCTGATGTGTGAACAGAAAGACCAAGATGGAGATAAATAAAGTAGCAAACAGTGATATTCTCTAGGTGGGTGATGAGAACTAGGGACATTTTCCTCATTCATGTTGCTCTTCTGCACTTTAAAATGTTTATTTAATATCCATTTGTAAATATAGGTAGATAATAATAAAGGCCAATAAAATGCACTGTTTTTCAGGATCCAGGATACAACTGATCTGCAACGTCACCGGCCAGTATACCGATCTTGTTTACTGGAAGTGGAATGGATCAGAAATTGAAGAGGATGATCCATTCCTACTTGAAGACTACCAACAGTGAGTTTGCCAGCCAATTTCAGTATTAAATTCTGTGCCACACCTGTTCTAGTTTTGAATCTAACTCTGAGAGCTAGCTGGTAGCTGACAATTCCTAGCCCCGTGCTTTACTAAGTAATCCAGACATTTGTGAGAACTTGTATTTTTTGTGGTTAAAAATATGTGTCACTGTACAAATGTCACACCAGTTAAAAGCCCTTTTCTTATATCCCGTGTTATGCTGCTACAGCATTGCAACAAGGTACACTTCATGTGCATTGAGTACTTTGGAAGACACATGGAAGGAATCCAGAATCAGTCACTCGGCCTCAGTCTCTATGGGCTGGATAAAGATTTCCTGGGTATCTATTAACTCCTTCCTGACCCTTCGTGCAGTGCCCTTTGTCATCTGCCGCAATCCTATACAACCATGGAGGCCAGAACACTGAAGGGTGTGTGTGTGTGTGTGTGTGTGTGTGTGTGTGTGTGTGTGTGTGTGTATTTTTCTCCATGCAAGCTGACAATTTTAACATGATTTCTTTGCTACTGAGTGTTCCTGACCTTGAGGTTATACAATGTCTGATTTGTTTTGCCAACAGACTATTTGTACATGATCAAGAGATCAAGAGAAGTGATTAACTGGACCTGTAGGTCTTATTCTTTGTTGCTGCATCTTAACTCCTCTGTTTTAATTACTCCCCTTCTCTCTCTCTCTTGAACAGTGTGGAATATCTTTCAGCCAAAAGAAAGTATACACTCATTACAATACTTAATATTTCAGTAGTCCAAAGTCATTTCTATCAGCATCCATTTATCTGTTTCGTCAAGAACTCAAATATTATAGAATCAGCACATGTCAAATTAATATATCCAGGTAAGTAACAAATGTTTGCACAACCTAACAGATTATGTAGACTTGTGGATTCCTGTGGTATTTCCTTCTGGAGCACTCCTCATCCCTTCTTCATCTGTGACTTCTCATCATTTTTTACCTCATTTCTTGGCCTCAATTCTGTCTGTTAGGAAACTTTCCCACCCCTTGCCTCATCTGACTCTACCTCTCTGCCTTTGTTTGGGTACCACTTTGGAGGCATCAGGTATTCTGGGCACAGGAACTCTTTTAGTTTATTATTGTTTTTTGACTAAAAGTTCCATAATGATGCCAATCATTTCTTTTACAAATCATTCTTTTTCCAGGGCTATATTTGCTTCATATTCATTATCTCCTGAATATTTTGAAGCACATGACCAAACAAGATGGTTGGTTATACAGGGAAAGCCTAATTATCTTATTTATAACAAAGATGTGTGAAGTCATTGGTTTTCAAGAATTTGTATAGTCAAAAACTAGTGCTGAAAATAATTGTGAATATTGTTTAAATACTCTGTAGTATTTAAAACAGGGCTTAAAAACTAGGGAATGTGTACAAATATAATTTAAATAAATAAAACAGAAAAGTAAAGTCATTGCGTATTTAGATATTTTCTGGATGCTGCCCATGCCCTGACAATAAAAAGGCACTTTCTTTGTCTCCTGGATTCTTCTCCACTTTGCTTCCTTTCAACCTGCCATTTCTCTCATCTCTCTCTCCCACACTCATCTTCTTTTGGTGAATTATGAGAGGATACCAAAAGAATATGGAATGTGAAATGTCATTTTCTTTCTGTCTTCCATCTTTAATTTCTTCCTAACATTTCTTCTCTCAGGAATCATTCAGGCTTTGTACTATGTTGACTTCTGCTGTTATGCTATAGTGAACTCTGTCTCTAGGGTCTCCAACAGGTTTTCTTTAGCTGTGTGTTATGCTTTAGGTTTCAAAGAATGAACTTTCATTTTCTATGGACTTATGCTGCATTGCTGGCTCATTAGTGTCCATTCATACAATGACAATGAATGAACAGACATGGATCTGGCTGCAAAGTGGTTCCCAAATACACGTTCTTTGTAGTAAAAACATTCAAATTGCTGTGACCAAAGTTCTCATTCTTTTTGGCTCTAATAATTTTCTCCTCTTTTTTTGTCATAGTACCTGATTTCAAGAATTACATCATTGGGACCTTTGTCATCTTGACAGCTACAATTGTATGCTGCGTTTTCATCTATAAAATCTTCAAAGTTGACATTGTGCTTTGGTACAGGGATGCTTGCTCTGATTTTCTTCCCCCAAAAGGTATAATTTTATATTCCATGAAATGTTTCCTCTGGACAGTTAGAAGGTGACTCATAGCATTTTTACTGAAGGCTTTTAATTATGTTGGCTTACACAAGAAGACCGTATATTCTTATTTAGTTTCATAACTAATAAGCCTCCATGCATTCATTTCCAAGTTGCCACCCTAGCTTCCATATTGGCAGGATACAGAGGTGTTTAGAAGTCTGTAAGTTAGTTACCCAGAATCCATTGTTCGGGCCTGTTCTGTGTTGTGTGTGCCCTATGGATCCATGATCCACAGTCAAATGAAAGAAAGAGATTCCCACCCCTGAGGAAGGGTCCTCCCTCTTTCTCTTTAATACCACAGGATCATATCAAAGTAGTACAGAAAGAAGAATAAGTAGAATGTAAGCTTGAGATGTTTAGAGAATTGGGTAAGAAAAAGTATGTAGGGTAACATTAAATGCTATGTGAAAACCATTTTGTAGGAAAACACAAAAGAGAGAGAACATGTAAGACATGAGAATTTTAAAAGATGTTGTGGGGGAGGGGAGGAAAGAAAAGGTCATGAGGCTGAGTGCGGTCTGGGTTCCTTGTACACATCTATGGAAATGTCACAATGAAACATAATTATTTTTAGAGTTAGTGTATATCAATAAAAACAGATGCTGACACTAAAAAACTCAACATGTAATTTTCTATTGTTGAAGAAAAGTAAAAAGCTTTCAATTGTAACAATATTCTATGGGTAAAGTCAAATGTACAAGGTCAAGGAGGAATAGGAGCAATTTGCAAGTTGCTAATGTTAGAAAGGGAGCTGTGGCTATCTGCATAAGATCCAGCCAGTCAACATCCCAGCATGGAGGGTGAGCAGCTCATGAAGCCCCAGCCCTAGCTGAGGAGCGATTTGTAGCTGCTGGTTGCTGGGAACAGTCAGTTTTCTTTGATGCTATGGCCCCTGGTAGACTGTTCATGTTCCAGAAGATGGATCTAGACTGATGCTGGTTCAAAGAGCACTAATTGGACTTAGTAGGATATAAATAAGGGAAGTGAAATTGGGAGGGGGAAAAGTTTAGAGAAGGGGTCTAGGAGATATTGTAGAGGATCAGTGAGAGGTAGATATCAAAATACACTCTGCACATGTGTGAAACTCATAAGGACTGTATGAAATACATTTTTGAAACAGAAAAAGGTTGCTCATATGTTTTTAAAGTTATAGCGTTAGCAAATATAAAATATTCCATCATTTAGATTATATTTTATACATTCAAAAGGGTGATATGATAGATTTTTGTTAGTAGTCAAAGGTTACAATTTGATTACAGGCTTTGTGGCTATTGGTCTTAGTTAAGGTTTCTGTTATGGTGGGAAAATATCATGACCAAAAGCAACCTGGCAAGGAAAGAGTGTACCTTATAGCTTGTAGTCAGGAAGTCAGGGCAGGAACTCAGGCAGGAACCTGGAGGCAGGAACTGAAGCAGAGACGAGGAGGAGTACTGCTTACTGACTTGCTCTCTATGGTTTACTCAGCCTGCTTTGTTATACCATTCGGGACCACCTGACTAGGGGTGGCACTACCTACAATGGGCTGGGCCCTCCCCCATCAGTCATCAATCAAGAAAATGCCCTATCGGCTTGCCCACAATCTAGCCTAATAAGTGTTCTCAGCTGAGGCTGCATCTTTTCAAATGACTAGCTTGTGTTGACAGGAATAACTAGCCTGGACACTATTTAAATATCTGAGGAAAAAAATCAAATGCACACATAAAAATGTATGAGAAGGCCTGTCTTTTTTTAAAATGTTAAGGAGTGTGGAAACAAAAATTGCAAACTACTACTATATTGTATTTAAAGTGTCATCAGACGTTAGATATTGCTCTTTCAGTCAGGTGATTGTACCAAGCTGAAAGGAATGTTTGCGGTAGTGACTTTATGGAGTGTCTTGTTTTCCCCCATGGTTCTAAATGTATTTTGTTTCCCTTTAGTTTCAGATGGAAAGGCCTATGATGCCTATATTCTTTATCCCAAGACCTTCGGAGAGGGACCATCCTCAAACTTAGATACTTTTGTGTTTAAACTGTTGCCTGAGGTCTTGGAGGGGCAGTTTGGATACAAGCTGTTCATTTGCGGAAGGGACGACTATGCTGGGGAAGGTATGCAAATGCTTTTTGTGATGTTAGCTGCTGAGTTCTGATTCTAGAGGGTTGGCTCCATTGGACATATTTGAAGACTTTAAAGAATTTCTCCAGTGATATATAATATTAAATTTTCTCTTAGTTCATTGGCTCAACGTTTAATTGATCATTATTCTTTTGGAAAATTTACTGACTAGTTAGATCTAATCGCCACTCTGCAACTGCTCTACTAAACCAGGGGTATTACAGAGCAAATGATTTAGCAAGACATTTTAAAATTTCTGACTGAGGGTTTTCTGAGTTCCGAGAGCAAAGTCCATCTTTTGTGAGCTGCTTCTAAAGCTGGTCTGTAAATGTCTTTGGCTCTCAGGTGAGACAAGGGAAAAGTAACAGGAGCCTCAGAAGGGAGATTTCGAAGAGCTTTCTGAGGGTTGAGTTCAGAAAGAATGTCTAGATGGCGGCTGCACTGACCACGCTGTGCTCTTGTGTCTTGCAGATACTATCGAGGTCACTAACGAAAACGTAAAGAAAAGCAGGAGGCTGATTATCATTTTAATGAGAGATATGGGCGGCTTCAGCTGGCTGAGTCACTCATCTGAAGAGCAAATAGCGATATATAATGCTCTCATCCGGGAAGGAATTAAAGTTGTCCTGCTCGAGTTGGAGAAAATCCAAGACTATGAGAAAATGCCAGAATCTATTCAATTCATTAAGCGGAAACACGGAGCCATTTGCTGGTCAGGGGACTTTGAAGAGAGACCACAGTGTGCAAAGACCAGGTTCTGGAAAACTGTGAGATACCACATGCCTGCCCCACGGCAATCACTATTGCCCAGACACCATTTGCTAACCCAGGACCCTGTGCTAGACACTAAGGAGAAACTGCAGGCAGAGACTCACTTACCTCTTGGCTAGCATGGCAGAAGTGGACCAAGAATTTTGGGATGCCTCCTGTCACACAATGCTGAAACTAGACTGTGCCTCCCAGTAACATGTACTGTCATAAAACACCAGTGTAGTCCCTGATTCCCAGGTCACCTGGAATTATATTGTTCAGGGAATAGGACTTGTTGACAGTAGTGGGCTAGGACAGATCAGAGCGAGTGTTTGGGAAGCTCCAGGGCAATGGCTGCTCAGGGAAGCTGCTCTGGATGCTTGCTGACTGTTGAGGCAGTGAACTGGGAGCATTAAGCTTCAGGAGAGGCCCACATCTGTGGGTGGTTTAATTGAAGTCTGCACAGCCTTACAGTGGGACTGTTCCCCTAAGCCTCAATGCAGGTGAGGTTTACTGACACCCCACTCTGGAAGGCATAACTTCCTTGCGTTTTCCAGACACCTTGACCACCAAACTTAGTTTTCAAAGACTAAACTTTATTTTATAGACCTTGGAAACTGTCATTTCAACAAAGGAATTCTCTGGGGTTTCCTCCACTGCTGTCAACTTGGCTTTCTGCAGAAGAGAGTGGATTTTAAGTTAAGTGTAGAAGGAAGCCCCCCACAAGTTTCTTCTGTTCACTCGTCCACTCTGGAATGACTGTTGCGTCATCTGTACTCATCTGCACTTTACTTACTGCAGCTTTGCAGTGCTCCTTCCCCTACCACTCTGCCCCAAGCACAGCCCCAGCCTCATGCACTCTGCTTACCTCACCCCCTGATGCCACAGCACGACTATAGGCTCTTCATGTGCAGAAGCTGAAGTCTGCACAGCCTTCCTCCCCATCGGGTCCCAGTCTTCTCCTGTCAGCCTGCTTGGCACCATCCTGCCTTGTGACTGCAGCACAGCCTCAGGAGCCTGTGCATCTGCTCGGCACACCTCCATCTTTGCTCTGCTTCCCACTTCCTGTGACTAGAATTCGCTCTTTCGTTCTCTTCACCTGACAAGGAATTTGCTAAAGTTCAAAGTTTATTTCAAAGCTAAAATCCTCAAGCGCCCAATCTTTCCTTCCTCTTTAAGTCTTGGCCATTCAAGCTGCCAGTCCTCTGTCATGCCAACCGTGCTGCTTGCTGGTGGTCACTTTAGAAGGTGGTTTCATTGCTAGCAGGAATCAGTCCACCCTGAGGGAGAGGTAGTGGGTGTGTCTCTGTCCCTCACTGCTTTCTGCAAGGTGAACGCATGGTATAGATTGGCCAAGACCTTTATTTTAAAATGTTCTTGGTTAATCATATTTAAAATTTGCAGTTATCCTAATTTTTATATATAGGCCAGAGAAACTGACCTATTTAACAAAATTATTCTTTTAACTGTACTGGACCTAGGCCTTGAACTTGAACTTTCTCGCTTCTATCCTTGTGCTCCAACTTGTTGATTTCAGGTCCATCACTGTCTGCTAACCCTTACTCAGTCCTCATGGGAGAAGGCGTGAGTGTTTTATAGGAAGCAACTGAGTCCAGGGATGTTTTTATAGAAGGGACAAACACAGTCCTTTTCAGTGTAGGTATTTCAAAAACTAACTTTAGAATTTCAGCATGATGTTTTTATTTTTCAATTCCCTAAAGGTCAACATTTCTTCTCTAAGTAAACCTGAAAGCAAATTGGTTTCTGTAGTATGGAGGTTTTCTGTTTATTTGTTTTTAACTTGATGACTGTCTTCAGAATGATCCCAATAGTTCTAGAAGATTGAAAAGCCAGGTTCAAGAAGAAACCCAGAGTTTTACTGGTTTTATGAACATGGGTAACCTTCTGTCTTTCACATTTTGAACATCTGCTCTGGGTGAGCACAAATCTTATTTAAAAGGCATCTTTTCACCTATATAGAGGTAGACAAATCCTATAGTTTGGGATTTTGACTCCACTTTCTATCTCCTTTGTCCTGGATCCAACCTGAGAGCACTAAGTGGATGGATCATCAGATTGCTGGGTCAGAGAAAGAAAGGCTGCCCCAGATGGCTGCCAGAAGTCTGATCCTTACCCAGGATGCTTTAAAAGTTTAATTTTGCTGATAATTTTTCTGTCTGTCATTCAGAAAATATATTAGCATACATATATATTATGAGTGAATTAGAGCTAGTGGGAAACTTGGCCAGGAAGTATAAGGAGAGAGCAATAGCAGAGAACCACAAATAGCGTGACACAGAGAACTGGGCTGGGATTGGGAGCAGAGGCAAGGGACCAGCCTGTGCCAAGAAAGACCCTGAACGGAAAGGTAGTGCCATTCCTGGTTCCCAGGGGAGAATGAAGAGCATGAAATTTCATATCTAGGCAGTGGGGGCTCCCTTTGCCTTACCCCTTCCACCCCAGAAGTATCTGGCTTAAGCTATATTTCATGATTTTCCCATTACTCTGTGCTTTCTGATAGTGTTGTTAAAAGGCCAACCTAGTGTTGCAGAAGTTTGCACATGCAACGATATATTAATTACCAGTGTTTAAAACTGGTTTAGCAGAATGTATATTTTTCTCTCTCTGCCTTTTGAATTTTACTTATAATGACAGAAAAAGTATTGAGCCATTTTAATGACTTTTTTATAAATTATATTTATACTAATCTATAATGAAGGGTGTTTTTATTAAAAAAGTCGATTTTATAATTCTCCAGCTGATGCCAAATGTTAGTATCACAAACCACCAAATGTATGTGCAGTGTGTATTATGGATCAATAGACTCAACTTGCTTTCCAATAAATTGTCAAACCCTCCATTGAATATCACTGAAAATCTGTTTGTTTGTCCTTTCTTTAGCTTACACACATTTCAAGGCCTGATATAAAGGATGATGCCTTCTGCAGGGTGTTCTTCTGGGGTAGGGAAATAGAGATCTGTGCTTATTAGTTTTATGTCAACTTAACACAAGCTAGAGTCATGGGCAAGGAGGAAGCCTCAGTTGCAAAAATGCATCCATAACATCGGGCTGTAGGCAACCCTGTAAAACATTTTCTTAATTAGTGATTGATGGGGGAAGGCCCAGCCCATAGTGGGTGCTTCCACCCCTGGGCTGGTGGTCCTGGGTTCTATAAGAAAGCAGACTGAGCAAACCATGAGGAGCAAGCAAGTAAGCAACAGCCTTCCATGGCCTCTGCATTGACTCTTGCCTCCAGGTTCCTGCCCTGTTTGAGTTCAGTGTGCTTCCTCACTTCTTTAATGATGAACAGTGATGTGCAAGGGTGACCCAAATAAACCCTTTCCTTCCAAGGTGACTTTGGTCATGATGTTCATCACAGCAATAGTAATTCTAAGACAGGGTCAGAGGTCACTAGTCAAACAGTCCTATAAGCCCTGATTTCCTGTATGTAGCCCCATCTGTTCTTTTGTTTGTGGACTGGATTAAGGGCTAGGCTGTTGTTTGGTGGTAGACCAGTTACTTAGCCTGTGGGAGCTTGATCCCCAACACAGCACTAAATTGATCAGTAAACAAATGTAAATAATGTATTCTGTTACTGTTATCATTATTGTTATTGCCCCTTCAACCTTTATGCTTAATGCAAACATGTATTTTCTCTCAGACGAGAGCAAGGTGTCTAAAATGAATGCAGTAAAGCTGCTTGACTTCAATGATCAGAGAGTATTCATAGTTTCATTGAGTAAAGCACTAAATGCAAAAATTAAAATGTAGGAACAAAGAAGTTTGCAGTCTGCTATCCAGAGAACTTATCTTTCCCAAATTTCCCATCAAAAGAAAGCAATGCTCCAGTGTGCTTCTGTCCTTTGACCAGTTAATATTTTAGCAATGTGTTAGGTCAGATCTAACACCGTTAATAAGCCATAAGTAACCCCTCTTCATCAAATGGCATTCCCTGCCTGTTTTGAACTAGCTTCTCTTGGGGGTAGAGGTCTCTGGAATTATTTCTCCTAAGAGTGCCGACTGCTTAAAAAGACCTGAGTTATGCATTCCTGACCAGTCATAATTCTGAGTGAGAGCAAAGCACCCAGCTGCTTTGAAACCCAGCTTTGTTCTCTGTGGAAAGACTTCATGTGTGTCTGGGTCACAGGAGGAACACATCTGTCCAGACTCCGTATGAATCTAGTTCACATAAGGAGCTCCTCCATTGAGACTCCATATGAATCTAGGTCACACGAAGAGCCCCTCCATTGAGACTCCATATGAATCTAGATCACATGTAGAGCATGTCCCAGTATCTGGGACAGAATTTCTAAATATCTCTTCTTAATTTTAGCAGCTAGTGATTGGTGCATTTGAAGGGTTCAGAAAGTTTTGCATTTTCACTAAAATAAATTGCAGAAATGAATCACTACAACAACAAGAACACATGGGAGAGGAAATCATATACAAAAGAAACAGCATACAAGATTGGGGGGGGGGAGAACTGGGGGTGTAATATTTATTTTATAAACAGAATTAAGGCCTCCCTGTGTGTAGGGGGAGGTGGGCGTTTGCACGTGTGCCCGGCCCGAATAAGTTTTAGAGAAGGAAAACATTACAGGAAATGGATGATGCTATTTAAAGTGAGCACTAGTCTTTCCAACAAAAGCATGCTCCTCTTTCCCCAGGCTGCTCAGCGGGTCTGCCGAGGAAGGCTTGGCAGATTCAAGTGTCTAATTCCTGTACATCCATGCATCTTAAGGCTGAAGGTGAAACACCACTACTGCTGCTCTGAGATGTGGAGCTGCTAGACCAGTTGGGCCTGTATTACTAGACTGGAAGGATCCTGTTGACTCCTGCTCTGAGCTCAGCCAGCTGGGAGCCATGTTTGCTCAACCTTTTTAGGGACCTTTTACCAAGAAGTGTTTGTGAGTGTCCTTTGGGCTTTGTTTCCCAGTCTAGGAAGTGTCTGGGGCTCAATGGTTTTCTGTCACTCAGTGTGTCTTGAGACTTCCCTGAGGACAGGGATTGCCTGTTCCCAGCTCACCTGGTTTTGTCCGTGCTTATTTGTGCCTGGCTCCTGCTTTTTTTTTTTTTTAAGCTCCTCAGCCATCTTACTTACATGTTCTCTGAGCCTGATTCAGATACAGCAAGCACCCTGTTTACCTTGAGGGCTGGGGACAGTGGCTGTCTCTCTTGAACACTTTTAATAGTTAAACAGAGTTTCCCATTCTGCTTGATTGCTTCTGAAGCCCTGAGTTTCCCTTAGGATTACATTCATGGGCTAATTTCCAGACTCTAACATGAATTGCAAAAGCTAAATGCCAAGGAAACAAAGTGGCCAGTCAACAAATGGCTAATAATTGAATAGGTAGATTTCCAAAAAAGAAAACACAAATGGGCAATGAATATTTTTCCAAGTGCTCAACATCAGGGAAATGCAAATTAGAACTATTTTGAGATGGGATATCACCTCAGTCAGAACTTCTGTCCTCAACAAACCTGATAAGAAATGTTGGAAAGAACTTGAAGAGGAACCTTATTCACCAGTGCTGGGAATGCAAGTTAATTGAGTCGTTACAGAAATCAGTTTGGAGGTTCCTAAAATTTAAAAAATAGAACTGTTATATGACCCAGATATTTCATTCCAGGGTATTGGTCCAGAGAACTTCATACCTTTCCGCAGAGATATTTGCACCCCAGTATTTATTGTTGCTCCATTCACTATAGGAAGGAAATGGAATCAACCTAGCTGTCTGTCAACAAATAGACAGATAATATGAAGTCCATATTTTTTTTTTTAAAAAAAGAATCCCAATCAGCTCTAGATAAAAAATGAAGTCACAGGAAAGTGGATTGATTTAGGGGTGTGTGTGTGTGTGTGCGTGTGTGTGTGTGTGTGTGTGTATGTGTGTGTGTGTGCCCAAACAAGTTTTAGGGAAGAGGAAAATTAAAAGGAAATGTCATCTCTCTCCTGCTCTTCAGCAGTTAGGCAGCCAGGCAGTTTTCTACTTAGACAAGTGGAAAAAGTGCAGTTTGGCCTATCACTAGCTACTCTTCCTGTTAGACAGCCTGTTGCCTTGCCACTTTAGCAACCAGCCTGCTGACTGCTCAGCAGTGTCAGGGTCAGCTTTCTCTTGTGGCATGGGTCTCAAGCTGGACCAGTCATTGGTTGGCCACTCCCACAAATTCTGTGCCACCTTTACCCCAACATATCTTGCAGGCGGGATAAATTGTAGGTTGAAGGCTTTGTGGTTGGGTTGGTGTCCCAATCCCTCAAGTGGAAGCCTTGCCTGGTTACAGAAGATGGCTGGTTCAGGCTCTGTGTCTCCTATTACTAGAAATTTTCTCTAGGGTCATCCTTATAGATTCCAGGGAGTTTTCATTGCTCTAGGTTTTTACCTTGTCCTCCAAGTGTCCCCCCAATTCCAGTCATCTCTCCCAGTACTCTCTTCCTCCATCCCTACCCCCAACCTGACCCCTCCGGTTCCCATCACCACCGGTCCCCAGTCCACCAGAGATGATAACATACTAATAATAACCAAATAAATAAATAAATAAAATTAAGTTAAAAATGGAAGGCTGAAAGTCAAGGACTGACTCCCAAAAGTTATCCTCTGACTTCTACATGTGCACACACACACACACACACACACACACACACACACACACACACACACACACACCTATACATACATACATACATATCCAAGTCCATGTACATACAAAAACTTGGCCCAAATCTTTGTTCATGCTATTATATTTGAAGAATCATCCGTATTGCTATTAAGGCTGCCAAATGGATGGCTTTTCTGTTTCTGTTGGCTATCTAGCTCTCTGCCTCCCCAGTTTTTAAATATACACAGCCTAAACAGCAAACTGCTCTTCCTAATAAAGCTTGTTCCCCTCCCTGGCAACTTGCTTGGTGTGGTTGCAGAAGGATACGGGCTAACTACATTCTGCAGAGACTTTACACTCTCTCACATGCAGGGCATTAGTGAGAATGAGCGTTCATCTGGAGATCATTGCAAATTTGTGGTCAAAAACAGAATCCTTCGAAATGAGCATTTCTTGGCTGATTAAATATTAATGTGTCTAAAATCTTTATGTGGAAGTACCTGGCCTTTGGGACAGCCTTTGCTTCCAGTTCACTCCAATCCTTATTAGTGAGCAAGTATGCTGAGACAGGAGATAACTCTCAGATAACTAGCTGCTCTTCTTAATCACCCACTTTCTCCAGATGACATTGAGGGTGAATAAATGTGAGCCTTTTTATTTTGATAAGGAAATATGCCACAGCTGGTTTAAAAACATGGCCAGGAGCCGTAAGAGTCAAAAAGCGTTTGGGGCATTCATGGCAGAGCTGGGTGGAACCAAAATGTACCATCGGCATTTGGGCCCTGTGACTATGAGTGTCACCTGCAAAGTGCCAGGACACATGGCTCCCTGCTATTCAGGTTTGAAGGACCAGGAGACATGAGCTAAAGGTGAGGGTCCTGAAGACTTGTCTGCATCTCTGACTGGTATCTTGTTCTGGAGAGAAGGGTCATCGAGGAATCGCAGCAACATTAGACACACAGTCATCGACAAACTGGGTTCCTCTTTCTACAGACCCAGCATATGGACCAAGAATCCCTAACTGAAGCCACACAGCAAGGCTTCCTTTTTCTACAGGGGGAAGTGATTTGCTAATAGGACTTTAGTTTGGAATGGGATCTCTTGGGGCAGTGGATGCTTTCAAGCACAAGCTGGAGAACTTCTGAAAGTGTACGTGCATGGGTGTGAGTGTAAATTTAACAGAGTCCTTTAAGCTCTATAGTGTTGGTTATTATACCAAGCAGTGTCCCATCTAGAATCAGGTATTTGCCACTCTACCCAACAGATGTCCAGACTTTAGGATCTGCTCCAGTGTGGTTTTATGGCCCTCTAAATGTCATTTAAGTTAGACTGAAATTGACCAAGAGCTGAGACATCAGATCAGATCCAAAATGTGTCTCCAGATGTTAATCTCCACTGTCACCAGCAAACCCCAGCCATATCACCTATTTCTTAGAGTGTTTATCAGCCTCCTGACTGGGGCCCTGTAACCCTACCTCCTACTGAGAGTTTTTCACAAGGGATTTTCTTGATTTATCGGGTGCATGTTTGGAAAATGCATGCTATAAGTGAGCAAACCAATGTCACAAGCATATAGGTCCAAAAAAGACCTCAACATGGGAACATCTTCCTTGGGTATCTGTTGATAGACTGACTCACTGATCGGCTTTTCCCAAGGCCTTGACATGGAGAAGGAATGTAGCTCCTTATCTAAACGAGGAATATACTTGGCTGAGCTAGTAGGGGCCTGGGGCCAGCACCCTGGGAGCTGTGGCTTCAGACCCTGAGACCAAACTCCTCCCACGGTATGGAGCTATTGGTTATCAGTCCCAAGGCCACTGTGTGCTCCATCTGTAATGATTTTGAGATACCCTGTGTCCCCCTTGTACAACATTGTTTAATTAGCTTCCTGCTGACTTTGCCCTATTGTATGAGAGCTCCTTCTGACAACCCCTTCTCTCTCCTGGAAAAGTATATAACATGCTGTACTTTTTAATAAGCTTGAGTGGCATAAGACGCAGCTCGTAAAAAACCTCTGTACCCCATGCTTTCTTATCTTCTCTCTTTTCTTCTATCTGCTTTATCTTCTGATCTCCTAGTCCTTTCTCTCAGGACCTTGCTACTGAAGAATGACCTGCTGGTCTAGGTCCCAACCCCCACCACCTGTGTCCCAACTATTCTAACGTTAGATACTGACTTTGTTTGGTTTTGAATATTATATCTACCCCCTTTCTCCCTCCTATTTTCCCCTATCCACCCACCCTATCCCTTCCCAACTTCCCAACTTCCCAACTTCATGTGCTCTGTTTTTAAAACCCACAGAGTCCACTTAGTGCTCAGCCCTTTGGGTGGTCTTTAGTGGTAAAGGTAACATTGAAACAACAAATGTGATTTAAGTATTCTAATATCTTTTAATTTTACATATAATAAAGTCAGCCACTGTACTGTTGTTCTCTGGCCCTGTGTGATCTAGCCCCCATCTCCTTCCATACCTTTGTTTATGTTCATTTCCCCTTCTTTGCTATGGTGATCACAATGCCTTCCTTTCAGCTTTATTGGAACTCCCCAAACTCTGTCCTTCAGAGATTTTGTACTAGTTTGTCAGTCTTCAGGGGAACTCTCCTAAGGCTGGAGAGACAGCTCAGCAATTAAGAGTGTATAGCTCTTGCAGACAACCAGTGTTTGGTTCCCAGAACCCATATGAGATAGCTCACTAACACTTGTAATTCCAACCCTAAGAGATCTGGCGCCCCCTTCTGGACCCATGGTCATCTACACTCACATGCACAATTAAAAATGAACCTTAGAAAGTAAAAGGAGAGCTCTTCTCCCAGCCATCCACTGGCTGTGCTCCAGGCCACTGCTCAGGAGCAAGGCTATGACTATGACACCCTTTCAATCTTTTCATTGGATTTGATATCATATGTGCTTCTTAATAGTTGAATATCGCTGGGTGTTGGTGGCGCACACCTTTAATCCCAGCCCTCGGGAGGCAGAGGCAGGCGGATCTCTGTGAGTTCGAGGCCAGCCTGGTCTACAGAGAGAGTGCCAGGACAGCCTCGGTAGTTGCCCAGAGAAACCCTGACTTGCAAAAAACAAAAACAAACAAACAAAAAAAACAAAAAAATAGTTGAATATCCTTTAAAAATTTATTTATCAGAGGATAATAACTGCAAGCTGTAAAAGGGCCCATCTCTCCAAACTGTGTTTCCAGAACTCAGTGTGTCATTGGGCACATTTGGAATGTGTTTAATGCTTGGCAAGAACACAGGACAATGAAATCCTCTTCGAGAGAATACTATCATGGAAACAAGTAGAGGTTTGCCAATGCAGACGAACTCATTTAATGATCTGGGAACTACTCTCAAATATGCAAGAGGACATTGCCAGAACTGACACAGCAACACTATTTGCAATAAATAAATAATAAATATAAAATCGGAGCAGCCAAAATGGCCAAAGGAAAGGGATGGGTAGGTTGTGCATGCTCTTACAATGGGATGTTATACAGCAGCAAGCCTGTATTAAGAAGGACAGTACCTTGAATATTTAAGTCCCACAAATGTAATGCTTCTATGAGAAAGTAAGTTATATAGGTATACAATGTAGTAAATTTTATACGCTAAGAAAACCTACATAAGAATACCTCATATTGCTTAAAGAACTCTGTCTCTGTGTGTGTGTGTCTGTGTCTCTCTCTCTGTCTCTCTCTCTGTGTCTCTCTGTCTCTGTCTCTGTCTCTGTCTCTCTCTCTCTCTCTCTTACACACACACACACACACACACACACAGTGGGGAGGAGGAGAGAATAAGCACCTAACTTAAGATGAGAGTTTTGGCATGGGCGATAGTCACAGGAAGCCTGGAGGAGATTCCTTCTGTTTGCTGCTGACATGACATGGCTTGTTTGGCATCATGTCACCCTTAACAACTGTATGGCTTAAATGGAAGGGCATGAAAGTGAAAAGCAAAGAGGACAGGGGAAATGACTGAATTCAGAAGGTTTCTACTAAAGCCAGGTTTCTTCTTGCCATCACAAACAAAGCTAAATTGTCCTTTGGACCTCACAAGTACGTGTTCAGTTCCTCCCCACCTGTTTCTCTGGGAGATTCTGGAGACAAAACTTATGGTTTCTCATTTTCATTTTTAAAACTTTAATCAGTTTTGTGTTGTTTACATTACTAGGGTTCAGTTTACACGGATTAAATCCAGTAAATCCTCTTATCAGCTTCTTCTACCCACTTGGTAGTCACTCTTTGTCATTTGAGTTTCCTTTTGTTTGACTTCCATGTTGGTAGAACCTGGAGCATCTGTTTTTCTGTTTCTTATTTTGCTTAACATCATGTTGTTTATTGAAAAGCTCACAATCCTCAAGTCTGTTTTGTACTCAGAGCCCAGTGATTGATTCTTGATGAATCAACAAACTTATTTGACACAGAAATCATCTTGGAAGTGTAAGGCAATGGGGGGAACCTGACCACCTTAACTTTGTCTCCTTAACTTTGTGAGCATGGGACAGTTTACAGAGAAGCCTGACCCTGTGGTTGTTTGAAAAGTCCCACTGTCCTTAATTCCACAAAGACCACTAGAAATGTACGGCTAAGAAGCTGGTGGGCTGATTACATATGCTGTCTTTTTCCTCTTCTCAATACCCTGTGTGTGTGTGTGTGTGTGTGTGTGTGTGTGTGTGTGTGTGGTCTCCTGTGCCTGAGGGGACCACAGGTTCGGGTGAGCATCACTTTAAGGAGAATTTAGACCAGAGCAGTGCTCAGTCTGTGGAATGCCTGTTGTACCGAAGATCTAGCACGAGGACAGAGGGTTAATGCCTTTCCGCAGAAGCCATGTGGAATGACTTCCACTTCTGGGATAGTTCATATTAGGGCAGTGTCGGGCATGTAAGAACCATTCAAATAGGGTTTGGAAAGGAAGGGATTTTTTTTTTTTTCGAGGATCTGGAGTAGATTTATTTAACCCGACATTCCTGATAGATGAACTTGTTAGCTTGGAATCAGGCAAAAAAGACTGAACGTCTCTCTAGGGCTGGGTTCTTTCTGTCGTGCTCCACTTGGGGAAGGTGAGTCTGCTCCGCCCGCGGCGAGAGGCGATGCCCGGGCTGAGGAATGCGGTGACCGACCTTGTTCTGGTTCCTGACGGGGTTCCTGCTCTACTCCACGAGACCCCGTGCTCTGTGACCCCATAGGCAGGTGGACCCCCCTTCCCCACCGCGTCCCGGGCAGCATCGACGCTAGGGGATGGCAAAGGGCAGAGGGCAGAGGGAAGTCTGGGATCCCACTGGGGGCGTCTTGGCGACTGTCCCCGCCCGGGCGCGGAGCCTGAACGTGGGCTGGGGTCTTCAGGCTTGGCTCACTCTCTCCTCTTCCTGCTCGCCCTTCCCAGGTGGACCTTCGACTACTGCTCAACCAGCGGGAGTCTGGAGTTTCCGGGGAGCTCCGCTGACCCAGGTGGATCTCAGGCGCACGCTGGGCGGGTCCATAGCCTGCTCTGGCTGCGTTGGGATCGCTCTAAGTGGCAGAAAGATCTGCCACCAAATCTGCCCCCTGTCTCCCAGCCCCCTCAGGCCAGTCTTTGTTTCTGGACTTCTGAAGGTCTGGTACAGAAAAATGTTATGGAAAGAGGGTGGGGGACAGGCCAGCCTTGGAGTGGTGAGGCGGACACAGAGGGCTCAGTTCTCACAAGCCAACCTTGATGCTTGTGGGAAGGTGTGCCCAGCCCAGCTGCACTACTTACTTCTCCCATTGTCTTCTTTTTCCCCTGTAGCCCAAAATGTGGGTGCGGTCCTTGCTGCTCTGTGGGGTGTCTTTCGCGCTTCCACTTTTTGTGACAGCAGGTACGTTCTGTGAGTCTTGGGTCCCAGAGGCCTGTCTCCTATGGGCAACATTCTTTGTCACTCATCACCAAGTATCTGACCTACCTTCAGGGCATCAACTAGCCTCAGCTAATCACTGCTCCAGATGATCTGGTAGGCAGAGTCAAAATAAAAAAATAAATAAATAAATAAAAAATGGGGGAAATAGAAAAAAGTCCATTCCCAAGTTCTTGGAAGCTCAACCCCAAATGTCACCTTGGAACTTTGGACTAACAGGCAATATGGAGAAGTCGTGCACTCAATTTCAGTGCTTGAGTGGGTGGATTACTAGCGGTGTCTATTTAGTATAATAGGTTATTTTATGGTCCAAAGTTACCAGAGACAGATCAAATTTCTAAGAAAAACTAACTTGACAGAAATGGGCTTTAAAAGGAAGGTGTCTTTAAAACCATCCACTGGCTAATTCAAGTCAGTGAGGGACTGCAAGGGCAGGAAGCAAAGATAACCAGGATGGGTCAGTGCTGTGGGGAGGAGGACAGATGACTAAGAAGAGTAGAAGAATAAAGGCAAAGGGGAGTGGTGGTTTTGTGGAGGGATCTCTGGAAGGCCTGTCCTCAGGATACATTTGAAGGCCTTAGCATTATGCTTCTAAAGGACTGGGCTAGTTCTAGGAAACTCCCAAATAAAAAATTCACATTGCCCAGAACAAGATGTTTTCTGAAGTGAACAATGAAGCCAGTATTCTGTCGTGGTGTTTCTTGTGCTTCCCTCCCCTCCCCTCCCCATCCCTTCCCTCCACTCCCCTCCCCTGCTCTCCCCTCCCCTTCCCTAGGTACCTGTAAGGATGCTGAAATGCACCATGAGATCATTTCAGAGGGCCGGCCTTTTGCTTTCAATTGCACATACCCTCCAGTAACAAACAGGGCAGTTGATGTGACATGGCACAGAGCATCCAACCGAAGCTCAGTGTCCAACAACAGACAGCTTAGAAATCACCAGGACCAGACCTGGATTTTGTTTCTTCCTTTGGAAGAGGGGGACTCAGGCATCTACCAGTGTGTTATAAGGTGAGTCCCTCATTTAAAGAAGAACCAATTCACACATTTCCCTCTCCATTTCTATATACACCTTTTAAGAAAATGAGTGTTATGAACCTTTATTTTTGAGACATGTTATATAGCCTAGACCCATTTCTAAGTTACCTAAACCTCGAAAGTGCTAAATGACAGATGTGAGCCACGAAAACCAGCAAGACGGTGCATAGAGGCAAAGTGCATGGAGGCAAAACTACAGGATGGCCTTCAGCTGTTATGAGGTGACTTCCAGCTAGCATATTTGAAAGCAGAACAGATTTATCTACTTGGGGGGGGGGGCACAAGTTGCATCCTTTTCATTGAAATGATGTTTCAGGCCAGACCAGCTTTCAAAGAGTGCTCATATGAGTATTACTGCTGCCATTTCTTCCTCGGAAGGCCAAAAGGTTTTCGTCACTGGCTGATCCAGAGCAAAATGAGCCTCCTTTGAGAAGTTTTTGTAAGGAACCTGTTTAAAGCTGGCATTTAAAAAGTAGCCAGCCTGGGAGACGTTCTAGAGTCTACATGAGTACTTGTGCCAGGTGTAATGCCATTGAGAGACAGTGGCCCTTTGAGCCACTTCCATGAAAGACAATTGAGTTTGGAGGGAACTGTAGTCAATTGGAAGCGCAGGCCCCAGCAAAGTTTCACCTATCACTCATTTATTCTCCCTGCCTGTCTTCCCTTCCCTCCCTCTCCCTTTCAAAGCTTTTAAAGACTTTGATGAAACCCACCTGTAAACCACATTTGACCAGAGAGGTCTAGTTCTGTGACTTCCCACACTAGCTTGACTGACAGACACATACTATGCCATCTCTCCAAACCTTGGTTTTCCTACCTGTAGACTGGGTGTGTCCTATATGCCTTTAATCTCTGTTAATCTGGAGCAACTCTGAGTCTTTGGTTTTCATACCATCGTCATTTTTTAAGGACTACAGACAGTTGTTTATATGACACCACCCCCCCCCCGATTTATCAGACACTTCTTTTAGAGTAAGTGATTTTTGTGGGTGCAAGGATGCAGCGCAAACACTATCTAGTCTCTTCAGAGAAACAGTTCCAGAAGCCCAGGGTGTTCATTAGCCCCTCCTGAGCCTTGCTGAATGAGACGCCAGTGTCTCCACTGCACAAATACCAGTTATCTCTGGGTGATGCCTGGTGTGCTGGCTACTTGCGATTTCAGATGAGGCAGAGGGTTTGTACAATGTCCAGAAAATAATTAGGAAAGATGTGAAAATGACTTATTGAATTCTGAGATTGCTTAAGAATTCATTGGATTCAACCTGCTGTTTTCTCATAGGGATACCCACAACTGTTACCGAATTGCTGTAAATCTAACGGTTGTTAGAAACCATTGGTGCGATTCTTCCACGGAAGGCCCCATAAAGTTGTCTTTGTCGGATGAGTATCAACAAAGTTTACCCTTGGGAAAATCGGCCAGTCTCACATGTCATCTAGACTTCCCAGACAGTTGTGTTCTGGATTCGATAAAATGGTATAAGGTAAAAACAAACAAACACACACAAACAAAAAAGCAACAACAACAAAAACCCTCTATTGGTACGATTTTCTCCTCATATAAAACCCACTTTCTTTTTGAGGTAAAATTGAATCCTTCCTAGCCTATTTGGTATTTTGTATGGCTAAGACAACAAGTGGTAGTAACCCTGATAATTACATTAAAGGTATGGCTGTTGTTGTTTTCTTACATTGTTTTATCTTCTCCATACTCCCAATTGCCCATTTCTCAGACTTTCCTTGTAATATTTTTTGCACTCATTTAGATTTGTTTGAATGACTCTGATGTCTTGATGCTTTGAAAATTACGAATTAGACAAAGCCAGGCCCAAGAAAGATTCCTGCCACCCCTGCTTAGTGTTACTCACCACACATTGCTCCCAGCAGGTGGCTGCCTCTGTCAATTCTTATTATGGCCTCATAGAACACTGTATTTAGAAATTAACATTTGTATCTTAGCCGTTCCCCTTTGAAACGTGAACAGAGTTTCTCATGTTCAGCTACTTGGGCTATGAGTTTCCTTTATGGGTTTTCATCTGTTGATCCCCCTGCCCTCATTTGTTCTGTGGTGACTAGGTTCTTCAAATGTCTTACTTTTTTTTTCTTTGCTGACTTTTGGTAGCATTTTGTTTCCTAGGGAATGGCAAGTTTCATTGAAGGTTTCATCTATACTGGCAAACAATTTATTATGTTTTCTGTATCATCTGCTTCAGCAGTGGCGCTAGAGCTTAGTCTTCATTCCAGGGTAAAGTCTCACTCTAGCCCTCTCTCCCTTACCTTCAAAGGCTTGTTCTTCAAAACAAAGCCTTCTGTCCTTTCAGAAAGCCTACTTGTATCATGCATCATCATCACGTGGGTTCTTGGTCTCCTCGTGTGGAAATGAATGTTCTTTTTTATTTTATTTTTTATTAGTTCAAAGAAATGAATGTTCTTACACCTATCTTATGCATCGTTCACAGTGTGAGGTTCTCAAAGGCGCTTGATCTCCAACCCAAGAGCTGCTAGATGGTGCAGGTGCAAATAAGTAACTCATTTCTGCTTCACAGATGTCACAAATTGCTTCCAAAGTTTTATATGAATTTGACTTCCTAGGCCTATAGGTGTTTTCTTGTAAGGGTAGGATAATTTTATATGTGAACCTTAATTTTCAAAAATCAGAGGCAGGCAGATCTTGGTGAGTTCAAGGTCAGCCTGGTCTTCACAGAGAGTTCCAGATTAGCCAGGGCTACATAGAGACCTATCTTTAAAAGAAAAAAAAAATCAGTTCTGTAAACATGAAATGCTACCTGTAGTTATTTTAGTTTCTTTTCCTCTTAATTACCAATGGGATCAAACATTTGTTGAGTTTGCTGTCCATTTCTGAATCCTCTTCATATCTGCCGATGTCTTTTGCTGTATTTCTCTCTTAAATTTTTTTATTATTTTATTGTCACTTATAGCAAGCAGATTTTACACATTTGTTTTGGGAAACAAATGGCATGCATTAAAACATTGACACTGAAGCTTAAAATACATGTAGAAAATAGTTGGAAACATGCAGGTAGACAATGGATGATGGATTGTCACAAAATAAGTGCAACTTTAATTGCCCTTACCACCAAGGGCAAGATTAACTATTACTGAAAGCTTTAAAGACTGCTCCCATTACTTGGAAAAACCAAACCAAGCCTTCCTCATTCCCAGGAGCACTGCTTTACTAATTTAGACCCCCACATTAGTTTTACTTGTTTCTGAACCTCGTATTTGAAGCATCTATGCATAGCATTTTGTGTTTAACCTCTTTGGACCAACAGTAAACCCATGAGAACCATCCACATTGCAGCCTGTACGTCCAGGAAATCGTCCATTTTAGTTGTTGTATAGTATTTCATCATTGTCAAAACCTTGAGCTGTTTCCAGTTACACATAAAGCTAGTGTAAACCTTCATGTGCATACCATTTGGCTCACATATGCTTGCGGTTTTATGCAATGTTCTGCTGAAGAATGGAGCGGTTGGGTCATAGAGAATGTGAGCATTGTTAGTATTCTAATGTCCCTGCATCTGATAGCACAGGGTATGATCAATCTGCTCTCCCTTCCTCTCCCTGTGCCATCAGTCCTTCATTGAGTTTTTTCCTTTTGAGTACAGAGTGTTAGCTAGGGTATCACATTTAATTTCATTTTTCTCTATGTGGGTTCATAGTTCACCTGTCTTTTCTTCCTTGCTTTGCATGCCAACTCTGATTTTAGTCCAAATGATATGATATTGGTATGTGTATCTGCAGAGCACTTTCTTGTATGGTGTGTTCTGTTTGCCTTCTTAGTTATTGTATCATCAGGAAAGGCTTGAAAGTTTGCCACAAATCCTCTTGCGTTAACTTTCCCATTTGCAGGAAATTCATATTCGTCTGCATGCATACACAATTTCATAATCAACTTGCTCATTTTTACAGCAAGCTTTCTGAAATTTAGTTCTGCTTTTCTGAACTTACGGTATTGAGGGTATGACAAGATTTCTTTTCACAGTCTCCTTCAAGCCTCTCTTGTCTTCTGCGGCCCTTTGTATTTTTATGTGAATTTTAAAACTAGCGCATCTACTTTCACACAAGTAATATTTTAGATTTTTTTAATTTTAAAAACTTCTTATGATTAATATAACTATAGCATTTCTTCCTTCCTTTTCCTCCTCCCAAGCCTTCCCAAATATCCCTCCATTCTCTCCTTCAAATTCATGGCCTCTTCTTTCATTAACTGCTATTGCATACATAAATGTATATGTGTATACATATATGCCTAAATATAACCTACTCAAACTATATAGTAGTTTAGATTTCAGTTAATGGTGGTATTCCTAAACTTATCAAAGGTAGATAGCTTTTTCAATTTTGATTCTTGTAAGTTATGAAAATGGCATTTTCCCCCATTTAATGTTATTTCTGAGGGAATCTGTTGCTGATGTTGGGTTTATTCCAGGGCAACTTACATTTACTGGCTCTATTACATTGGTGTGGTTGTGTTTTCCTCTTCTGTATATTGCTGCTATAGGGAAACACACTCCCCTTTTGTATATCGGCTGTGGATGTAGCAACCTTGGTGAGTTGGTGTGCTTAGCCAATGTATGTGCTGATTACTTGGAGTTATGTACTCACCCAATCAGATTTCCAGTCCAAAACCAGCTTCACTCCATCTCTTTTTATCTGTGTTCATCTTGTGTCTTTCCTTGTCCTCATTTATAGATAGAACACCTCAGGGATTACCACCCTCCATTGAGTCCTGTTACTCCAACTGACACCCTAGAAGTGGTAATAACAGTGCTTGTGTGTCTTTATGCTGAAGGAAAAGCTTTCAGACTTCCCCCATTTCCTGGGATATTTAAGATGTTAACAAATGTCTTTTTTAGACTAGGGAATTATTCATAATTAGTTTAGATTCTTTTGTTATGAATTCATATTAAGTTTTATAAAAATACTCGATTTTATATGATTTTTTTAATTCCTTTAATGTACTGAATGATGTCTTGGTTGCTTTTCTACTGTCATGAAAAGACACTATGACCAAGGCAACTTATAAAATAAAGCATTTAATTGGGGTTTACAGTTCCAAAGGGTGAGTCCATGATGTCAGGAAGCACAGGCAGGCAGGCATGGTGCTGGAGAAGTAGCTGGGAGCTTACATCTGATCCGAAAGCATGAGGTACAGAAAGGGAGAGGTGGGGTAGGGAGAGAGAAAACCCACCCCCAGTGACACACCTCATCCAACAAGGCCATACCTCCTAATCTTTCCCAAATAATTCCATCCACTGGGGACCATGCATTCAAGCCGATGAGTTTATAGGGGCTATTTCCATTTAAACTACCATAAATGACAAGATAGCATTGGGGATCTTACAGTAATCTTGCAATCCTGAACTCCCTTAGCATGGTGTGTAATCACCATCACATTTAACTTGTTAGAATTTTTTTTCTAGAGTTTTGCTTTCGTATCATGAATGTTGCTGTTCTGAGCTCTTGTAGCCTGTGCTATATCTATGTCAGATTTTCATACACCTGCAGTTTAGCTTTGTAAAGTGAAGAGAGTGAAACTTCAGTTTTCTTTACTCTAGAAATGTCTCGTATTTCTAGAAGAAACTAGAAAGTAATAAACCCATTAGCTGTCCTATTACACACACATGGTCTTCAGTAGTGATATCACCCAGGACTTAGACTTTCTCTGAGGACAAGTTTTCAGTGTCATATACAGCTGTCTTTTTTACCTAAAGAGTTATTCATCCTACCCAGTTCTATTTGTGACAGAGTTAATATATTATGCTCATTTAGAAATTTTGATTTAGAAGTGTTAAGATGATACTATTGAAATATATTTCCATTTTCTTCTTAATGTTCATAAGATTTAATTTCCAGTGTCTTATAGCTCCACTTCTTTTGTTTCTTAGTTCATTACTCTTGCCAGGGCTTGTCAATTTTATAGATGTTTTCAGAGTACTAAGTTCAGACCTTATAGGTCTTCTCTTACTAGTTGTTCTTTGTTTGCCTCATCGATTTCTGTTCTTGTCTAGTTCTCCCCATGACTTTGTTTGATTTTTGGCTTAAAGTTGCTACTATTCTATGAATATTGTGAGACAGACTCTTTTATCAATAAGCCAGAGTTTCTAATAAATAGATTTAAGATGTGGCTTCCTTTAAAACTGTGTCTTGGTTGACTTCTGCAGGGTTTTACCTATCATTCTCTAATGGCCCCACTCAAATCATTCTGATTTTCCTTGTGATTTTTTTTCTTTGACTCTAAATGTTTTTGAAGGGTTGCTTAATTCATAAGTGTTGCAGTGTTTGGGTATTTTTTTAAGGTAACATTTCTGACTGTGACGTAGTATGACAGACAGCACATTCTATATACCTTCAGAACTTACTTTGAAATTTGAGACTGGCTTTTTGAACATATGTTCAAACTCTGTCAATGTGCTTGTGTATTGAAGAGAGCATAAACACTGGAATTTGAGCTTGTGGA